CATTACAGGTTTTACCAATTTACCGGACCGTTCCGGACCGCGCCCACCCCTAATATCCGGTACCAACCCGGGCCAGTTCCAGGCCTTAAGAAACCAAAAAAAGCCCGGTCAGGTCCGGACCCAGGGATGGACCAAACCGGGTCGGGCTGGGCCGGAACCGACCCGGCCCGCTATTGTGCGGGCCCAGCCCGGGTAACGTATAGGCGGTGCGGGCTTTGACCCGGCCCAGGGGGTGGGGCGGTTCGGGCACGGTTCACAAAAATGGAGGCCCGTCCCGGCCGGTTCGGGCCCGGTCCGGGCCTAACGGCTATATTTTTAAAAAAATTCTTTGGCCAGCCAAACAGGCCTTATACCCGTTGGGATTCAACCCAAACGGCTCTATAGCCGTTGGGAGCTTACCAGGGGGTCCCGGGGGTAGGGGGTGGGGGGTGGAGGGTACAAAAAATCTATAAATACTCCATTTTTTCTATACAATTTACTACACATCTTGTCCAAATATTCCTACTCTCTAATCTCTATTCTCTACTAATCCTCTCCATCTTCATCTTCTCAAATTTATAACTACATATATTTTATTTATAAAATTTATTATCTACTTATTAGTTATTATCTACTTAGATTAATATCTAATTATTATATTATTGTTACTTATATTTATTTACTTATATTTACATATTACATATACTTAATATATACTTATATATATTAAAGTATTATATATAAGTGTATTACTCATTTTATAGTAATATAGTTATATTATATATACTATAAACATAATATTATATATTACTAGTTAATCTACTTATTATCTACTTATAAATATATATATATTAAGTATATCTACTTATACATTTATTATATACTTATCCAATTGCTTATACACTCTCACACTCCCATTAATTTAGTTTACACACTAATACATTCTTTATTAATATAAAACTAGTTAATTGTTTCACTTATCATTTTAGTATTAGTTCATTGCTATAAAAGTATGTAATTGTTAGTTGTTAGTTTATTGGAAATAGTTACATTAAAAATTGTTAGACAATAATTGTTTATTTAATAGCTAAACTATTCGAAATTAATTGTTTAATTGTTAAACTAGTTAATTGTTACATTTCTTATTCTCCTACAAAACTAGTTAATTGTTAAACTTGTTAAATAAAGTTGTTACATTTTAAAACAAATAGTTCGAATCATAGTAGTTAATTGTTACATTTATTATTCTCCTATAAAACTAGTTAAATTTTATTATTCTCCTATAAAACTAGTTAATTGTTACATTTATTAATCTTGTATCATAGTAGTTAATTGTTACATTTATTATTCTCCTATAAAACTAGTTAATTGTTACATTTCTTATTCTCCTATAAAAGTAGTTAATTGTTACATTTATTATTCTCCTATTAATAGTTAAGTTTATTACATTGTAGTTGCATAGTTTGAATTTAATTGTATTTCGAATTGGTAGATTTGTATTTCAAATTCACTAGTTGAATTGTACTTCGAATTTAATTTTTGTTATATTTTTAAGATGGAACGTGCTAGAGCTTCTGTAGATATGGGTAACCTCCGCCGCAACCGAACAAAGGAGATTGCGAGGAATCACCCAAGGTCATGCAAAGGTAAGGGAGGGGCCGGGTCTTCATCTCAAACCCGAGATGATTTTGATGCGGACTACAACCTAAGATATGGAGATGCGATGTCCGATGAGCAACTAGAACAACTATTGTAACAAAATAAAGGAGATTTTTTTCATCAACAAGACATCCCGCAAACCATTGATGAAGAAGAGCTCGATGATGATGATGCGGGGGAGAGGGATCCGCGAACGGTCGAGGACGAGGTTCATGGCACACCGGACGATGAGGAAGAACAAGCGGAAGTGGCTACTTCTTCCCAAGCCGGTGAGAAATCTGAATCTGTCTTTAAGGCAAATCTTACAAAAGTTAAAGACCTTGAAACCGAGATATGGTACGCCACTTGCAAGCATTGTAACAAAAATTATAACTTGGGAATTTCTGGAGGATACAGGAGCGCCACAAGGCATCTTAAGGCCAAGCACCCACAAAGGCAAGGGAAAGCAAACACAAATTTCAAGGTTTGCAACTGGCCAACTGTTTGGTAATTTCTCCTATGATGATCAAAGACATTTGACTGGTATGTCTCATTTAATTGTTGAAGAAAATTTGCCTTTTATTTTTTCTGAAAGTCTTGCTTTAAAAGAATATGCTCAAGGTTCTTTACATCCTCAATTTCGAAACTATAGTCGCAAAACAATTAAAAAAGAAGTTATAAGGCAATATGTTTTGGAAAAGCAAAAATTACAAACGTTTTTCGCAAACTTTGATGGACGTGTTAGTATATGTAGTGATATATGGAAGGATACTCATCATCATTTATATTATTTGGGTTTGACTGCACATTATATTGATGATGATTGGTGTATGCATAAACGTGTTCTTGCTTTTCGTGAATTTAATGATTGACAAACCGGTGATAATATTTATATTCTCATTGAGCGTATTTTAATTGAGTATAATTTGATTAATAAGTTGTTTGCTATTGGTTTTGATAATGCTACTAATAATATTGCTATTATTCCTAGATTGCGTGAATTGTGTGGTTCATCTTCTTTGATGGGTAGATTTTTTAATCATCGTTGTGAATGTCATATTTTAAATTTATGTGTAAAGGACGGCTAGCGGCGTTAAACTTATTTGGGCTAGTAATCAAATATTGTGCTTTTCTTAACACTAGTAAAAAGAGGCTTATAGTGACATTAAATTAGTGTCACTAAACGATTTAGTGACACTCTGAAAGTGTCACAGAAAAGTGGGGCTAGTGACGCTAAATTTAGTGTCACCATTAATAAGTCACTTATGTGTCACAAAATTATGACATATAAATATCATAGAAAACTGTGATATATACGTAACAAGGATTTTTGTGATACTAAAAAATGGATCGGAATAGAAAGAAAGAAGCGGACGGGTTACTAAAAATAGATGGGGGGAACGAAAAGTGAATATTTTGTAAAGGTTAAAATACATCACTTTTTTAATATAGTGTCATTATCATGTATTGATGTTTTAGTGTCACATAAGTATGACACTTATATGTTATTAATAATATATGTCGTTTATTAGTGACACTACAGACAAAAGTGTCACTAAAGAAGTGTAATTGTAAGGCAAATTTCTACTAGCGTAAAGATTTGTCTATTCGTTGGAATAATATTTATAACTTAATTACGGTGCTTATTAGATTTGAAAACCATTTTCCTGCTTTTTTAAAAGAATATGCTAACTATATTATAAACCCGGTCGACAACCCGACATCGACACTTGTGAAAAAGTTGTGAATGTTTTGGTGTATTTTAATAACGCAACTCAAACTTTTAGTCATGTTTATAAACCTACCGCAAACCAATTTTTTGTTGAAGTTGTTAATCTTGCCGATGCTTTTTCTGACTTTGCTGATGCCGCTTACGTTAGTTATTATTGTGACTTCATGAAACAAAAGTTTTTAAAATATTATTCCTATATTCCGCATATATATAGTATTGCATTTATTCTTGATTCTCGTTTTAGACTTGCTTCTTTGGACCAATGTTTAGATTACTATTATGCTTCTTTTTTTGTCCATTGCCTATGTACTAATGTACGACGACAAGGCCATAGACCCTAAAAACCAATTCCAAGAGGTTAGTAATTTATTATATCAATTATTTAATGAGTTTCATGTACAATGTGGTAACGCACCCCTCCCCCGCCACGAACATCTTCATCTAAAAGAAAATCAATTTTGAAATCTGCATTTGCCAATCTTATGAAAAAAAGTAAATCAACTCCGGTTAATGAACAAAGCCCGATCAATGAGCTTTCTTTATATCTAACATTTCCTATTGAGTATTAAGAAGAATGACTTTGACGTTCTTCAGTGGTGGAAGGAAAATGAGAGAACGTTCCCGATCTTATCAAAGATGGCTAAGCAAGTGCTAGCAATGTTAGTATCAACAGTTGGTGTGGAAAGAGAGTTTAGTGCGACCACCAACATCCTAACGAATTATAGAACGAGATTGAGCACAAACTCTCTTGAGACACTTGTTTGCTTCCACGATTGGTTGAAGATAGGGGTGGACTCGGGCCGGGCCAACCGGCCCGGAACCGGACGGGCCCGCTACTGTGTGGACCCAGCCCGGACCGGTGAACCGGTTCTGGGCCCGATTCGGGCCAACCAGCCCGGTGGGATGGCAGTTCGGGCTCAGGCCCTTCAAAAGGTGAACCGGCTCAGCCGGTTCAGGCCCGGGTCGGGCCAATTTTTTTTTTTTTTGGTTTTTTGAATTTTTTTAAGTTTTTGGGTTGGGCTGGGCATTTTGGGCCATTTGAGGTGGTTAGGGTTGGTTTGGGGTGTGGGGGAGGGTTGGGGGTTAACTAGGAAAAGCCGGGAAAAAAAATAGAACTGAGGCCCGGCCCGGCCCCGGGGGTTACTCGGGCATCCCTTTCTTGAAGCGAGGCCCGGCCAGGCCCAGGCCCGAACCGGCCTCAGGCCCGAACCGGCCTCAGGCCCGAACTGGGCCCGAACCGGAACCGGTCCACCCCTAGTTGAAGACCAAACATAGAACTCAAGAAATTAACATTGAACACATACACCACTTTAGGGAAGATACAACCAAAGATGGCAAAAATTTCGAATGATACTTATTTATTAGAGTGTATTTCATGTTTTAATTTCTGCTCAATTTTCAATTGTACTACATATTTCAAATAAATATATTTTAACTTTTTTATGTCCAAGTAATCTTAATATTTAAACAAAAAAAATAAAAAGCCCGGCCTGAAATGGCCCTACCCGGCCAGGTAGGCTCGATCCGGACCGGACCCGGTATCAACCTGGGCCAGTTCCGGGCCCATGTTTCCTAAAAAAAGCCCGCCCGGCCTGGCCGGGAACCGGACCAGCCCGGGTCCAAGCTTAATGTGATGACAGTAAAAAAGATATCAGTTTGATGAAAGCTTAATGCAATAATGATGCACCGAAAACAAAACATAGCGCAGTCCACTTCTAAAGCAACTGAAAATGTCTGAAAATAACAAATTGTGATTAGTTTGGGGGATCCACAACCTCAATGACGGGTAAAAATATCAAAACTGTTGATGTGGGTGAAATCCAAAACAAACAACGTTAAATAAGTAAGCAGCTGGACTGATTACTTCTTTTCTTCTTTTTCTGCCTCTGCTGCCCTCTTCAGACGAGCACCATGGTGTCGCTTATTCACGCGCTCACGACGTAATTTGTCATAAGCTCTGAACGATTTCATCTCTTCAGTAACCTTAACGAATTCAACAGTAGGCTTCTCCCGGACAATAGGCAAAATAGAACCCTGGACTTGTGTTGCTTTTGCAAGTTCCTCGGGAGTTGAATCACCAGCCTGGAATGAAAGATGAGGTTTCGTTCAAAATTTTGCTAGTCCACATATTTTCAAAGCAAATTGTATGTAACAATATAAAACTCTTAAACAAAGGTCCCATAATAACAATTTAAAACTTTACCTTAAATTTGTTAGAACGCCTGGGAAAGATCACCAGCTTGGCTTTGTAGGTCTTGAGCCTCTGGGCATTGGTCTGAAGGCCTTCAAGAGATCTGTTCCTTCGCCTATGATCCACTGCAATACCAATAGTTGGGGCCAACTTCTTCGGAATACCAGCAGCCTAGTATAATACAGAGATAATAAGCACTAAAATCCATAAATGGCCCGGATGAGGAATGGATCACTACACATCCCATTTAAATTATTCATTCCCTTTGTTGTAAAAGGAGAAACCCATACAAAGAATGCATGCCTTGGCCATTATAATGACACCCTAACGACCACCTGTTTTTGAAAAATCTTTAATAAGTGCACCATTTTAACTACAACTCTGTAATACTATAGTATATATAACTGACCAAGATTTGGTTTGTAATGTAATTCAGATACAACAAAAATTTACTCCGTATTTTGCAAGGGATAAAAGGTAAAACTGAATGGAAAATAATTTTGTAAACAAATTTGATAAGGTCAAATGAGGTTCAAGAACATATATGTTTTCAAAAATAAGATTACAAATTGGATAGCATGCATTCCAAACGACATGCTCAAATTTGACTAGAATTTAGATTATAAGCCATTTTGCCTCAAAAGTAAGAGGGTGGCTCCTAGGACATGCTCCCACTTTGGCGAAGAGCAAATTCAATGAAGAAATGGTCATTCCAAGCTTTTAACCAGAAGTATGTTAACCAATGCAGTGAGCAAGTAACACTTAGTGTCAATTGAGCATTACTTTGAAATATACTCTTAACAATCACATCATGGTTGAAAAGTTTTTTAATTCTGAATTATAACGGTTGGAATCCGGCTAGTGGTTAACATCATCCTCATAGACTCTCGATTTCACAGATAAGAAGTTAAGGATTTACTTTCAGCTCTTCAAGTGAGAACCCTCTTCCTGCTCTGACTTTCATGTTGTACTTCAGTGTTTGCCCATGGACGATTGGACGGAGTGGACCAGCAGTGGGTCTGGGGAAACTCTTAACAGCTTTTTTTTGTCTAGCTGCATAATTGATTAATATACCAGTAGATGTGAGTCATAGCAAGACGCAATCTTGTTTAAAAACTACACATTATCCACACAATATTTAAACAGTAAAAAATACCATTGCGCCTCCTGGTTTTTCTGGCAGGTTGGTTAAACCAGGTTTTGACATAGTTTTGCCAATGCTTCCTGAAGTGCCCGTTTGGCACAACATTGTTATGCTTAACCATTTCTTCTTACCTAAAAACAGGAAGAGAGGAATGAAAACTAGGCCTGGGACCGGTTCAGTTCTAGTTAAAATTTATTGGAACCATTTTAAAAAATGTAATATTTAAAATCGGTTTGGTTCTATACAAAAATAATCGGAATCATTTTATAACCGAACAAGGTTTAACTGGTTTGGTTGTGGACTTTTCCGGTTCCATAAAATATTTTACTATTTCTAAAATGAACCCAATTTAGTTTATGTTACATAAAAAACATTCAAAGTTCACATCATTGTAAATACAAATTTTGTCAAACATAGACATTATATTATAATTAATTAATTAATTATATCATATGAACATCCAATTGGCCATAAGGATCAACCTACTGGTTTCGTTTCTTAATACTTGGCCCACAAATGTAATTTGCATTTGATTAGGATAGTGCTATTATTATTTGCCTTTCCCCATAAAGAAGTTTAAATACATAATGTGTAAATCAATAAAATTTTCATTTGATTTAGTGGGCGGACTTAATTGCTCTCCTGCCAAGAGTATAATGAAAGAACAAGTAATATTAGTAAAGTTACCAAAAACATCATTCATTTTAAGATGAGCTAAAATAACAAATAATACAAACAAATAATAAATAAAATGGTGTACAAATATAATATTCAAACAAATTTATCTTTTTTAGAGAGAATGTCTATTTCAAAAACTTCTAAACAGACAGGAGTAATCACCTACTACATTAAATCTACTTCAAGACGAACAAAAGTAATACTCTGTAATCAATTATACCAAAGATTGGATAAAGTTCAAGCTGAAAACTAACTCCAACTGGTTTCAAACACTATATTGCAAAGATTAGACGATATTATCATCTCGCATAGAGATAATTACGATAAGAACCCATAATAGGAAAAATGAGAACCTGGATGTTTTGAAGATGAAGAGATGGAACACGATATATAGGTTCAATTTTAAAGCTTAGAACTTGGAAGGCTGGAAGAGTATATACCGTTCAATCATGTGGAAAAGCTGAGATGAAGAAATCAAGATGCAGACTTCACAGTATCAATGGCCGTAGATTGGTCGTTCGATTCTTTGGGAAGAGTTAGAAGACTTGCTCTTAGGTTAGTGGTTTTCAAATCCTTTATTTCCAGTGGGTCGGTCCAGCTGAATACTCATATGTGAGAATGAACTTTAGGGGGGTGTATTCATTTGAGACTTTTGTAAACATTTTTAAAATATGAGATTTTAGAAGACATTTGAGACCTTTATGGATTTGTCTAGATTTGTGTGGATTTGGACATGAGACATATTACGACATTTTTGGACTTGTTATATTCAACTTTTTTCCTTAAAAATAAAAAAGTGTCATCATGGAGAATATTTTCACACTTACAAAAATTAAAACATACATATTACAAAAAAGGGAAAATGATGCTATCACTTGTTGAAATAGTATAAATTCCAACCTACATATTCCAATGTACAAAAATTCCAACATACTCATTTATTTATGAAAGTATAAAGGTGACATGTGAGCATATCAGTAATATGAACATTGTTATGTAATTGGTCTCTTCTGGCAGCTCTCGCGTCTCTGGGTTTTAAAGAACACTAATACTTATGCATATAGTTAAGTAAATATAAATTTTAAACGAATGACTTTCAGGTGAACAATACAAGAGCATTATGAATTCAACATTAAGCCATTAGTATATTATTATATATTCTTACAAATAAAGGGGGGTATATCTGAATTGATTTTCCTTATTTTTTACGTTGTAAGTACTAACAAATGTACTTGAATACACACGTGCAAACATGGTAGATTAATGAAATACAATCTTTATACAAAATGATAAAGTATGTCGTAACTAGTAATGAGCCTTTTTGTAAGAAGTTCTGGAATACTAAACTGATTTTTATATTTGTATAAAAGCAAACCGCAAAATAATTACACCTTCATTAGGCAAATGGAAACCACCTTACTAAATTACGGTTTTATTAAGCCACAACTCATTCATTAACAACAAAACTGTTTTTTACAGTTCTTTTGGGAATTTCATCGAACACTTGGAGGCAGAACATTTCAACACTTCCATAAATATTAACACTATGGTTCATTCAAACCAAGAATCAGTAATCTGAGCAGTGCTAATGAGATGAGTTATACTATCACTAATTCAGGGGCAGAAGCTTATACGATCGGGAAAGGGAATCTTTCATTCATGAAGAAAAGATAGGGATTTTAAACAGAGGAACAGAGAAAACAAAGATGCAGATATTTGATTCTGTGGAATTTTTACCTCCGTGGATAGATGCAGCTGCCGGTCGTTGTGTTCGAAGAAGCGAGATAACCTCCCTGCTGCGGTGGAGAGAGATTGAAAATCGGATGACTTGATATAAATACAAGCTAAAGCAGGGCTAGGTTATTCCGGATTGTGGGCATGTGGTTTTCTAAGTGGACCGGATCAAACACTTTGGCCCATTAAAATTAAAACATTTAGGGTCTGTTTGGTAACGGCTTCGATGTCTGAAACTGCTGAAGTGGCTGAAATGACTGAAGTTGCTGAAATGAAAGTGTTATGTAATATTCTGGATGAAGTGCCTGATTGAATGTAAAATTACCAAAACGGGTATTTGTTTCTTTATACTCCGTATTTGAAATGTATGTGTATGTTAGGATTGTTAGTTTTGCTAGTAAAATCTGTTTATTAATATGAGTAAATTAATGTAAAATTACTAATCGACCCCATTGATTTGGGATTGAGACTATGTTGTTGCAGAAAAAATAACTCACAATCATGATTCATTTTTCTGTTTTCTTCTTCTTTTAAATAATTGAATTAGCAAGATTTCATGGGGGTGCAAGTTCTTCCATAAAGAAGGATAATACAGTACAGTAGATAAACTGATAAATTCACAAGGCTTGAATACGAAGTTTCAACAAAATCATATCTCCAGGCTTGAATCAAGCACAATTTTTTTCCTTGTGAATTTAACACAAGATGCGAAGTGATATTACGCCGGTGCACCTTAGAATGTTTAGAAAGGAAGGAAATTACTCGATTGAAGACCAAAATGATACTTACCTTTAGATTAATCAAGGACAACCGAGCAGAAAGAATTTAAGCAGAAGACGGCTAGATGCGAAGTGATATTTGCCAAGAAGAAGACAGATGCGAACGAAGAAGAGAATTACGGATGAAGTATTCGAGAAGGGATAAAAATGTCCTTAAAGTAGTTAACAGTACAAAAATAGATTTCAGCCAGAAAAGTAAGGGTTGGGCTACTTTTTGATCTTTTAATAAAAATCAGCCCAATCAGCCCAAAGTAGGGGTGTTTGGTGATTTTCTCTTACATTCAGGCTTATCAGTCTATTTATTGAACTCCAAACGGCCACTTAAACCATGTTTGGTAACATTGAAATCGGCTAAATCGGTTGTTTCTGCTTATATTTATGAAGTTCTGGCTAAATTGGCTGTATTGGCTGATTCTGCTGATTTATGAAAAGATTATATATAAAATATATTTTATAAACAAAAATAAAGAAAAAATTATACTAAAAATAGCTAAAATGATCCTCTACAGTAACTTCAGCCAATACAGTCAGAAAAGTAACGTCAACCTTACTTTTTCTTATTATTACACAATTCAACGCGCGAAATCAAAAGTTAAGTGTTTGGTAAGTAGAAAAACAAGCTCACCAAATGGGCTCTTAATTTAGGAGATTTTATATTTTAAATTGTATTTTTAGTAACATTGAAATTCACCACTTTAATGGATTGATGAGACAGATGAAAATCTAGATGAATCAGTCACTTTACTAATTTATTGATTTACGGAAATATTATATTTCAAATGTTGTGGAAAATAAATACAATGGTCTTATATAATAGCTTCAGTCAATTCAATCACATACATAACTCAAAACTCCCTTATATTGACTATTATATAATTCAACACGCCGAAGTCAAATATATGTGTTTGATAAACAAGTATGACTGATAAGTTGAAAATACTCCCTCCGTTCCGGAATTATCTTCATTCTTTCTTTTTCGGTCCGTCCCAAATTTATCTTCTTTTTCCCTTTTTGGTAAAGAATATTTGATTCACAACCATTCTTACACATTTCTCTCTTCTCTGCATAACTCTCCACTACACAAATCTCACTATTTTAAAACCCGTGTCCGGTCAAAACCGGAGTTAAATATGAGACGGAGGGAGTACTAGTTATTAAACATACTTTTATTTGCTTTAAGCTGGAAAGTAAATGTTAAGGTTAGTATAACAATTTAGAACTAATACTTCATCGGCTTTTTTTATTGCAACGGGTCACTTTTCACGTTTGCAAACACACAAGTTTAACAATTAATATTTTTCACTCCTTATTGGTAAAAATATATTAAAAAATCAGATTTTGTAAATTTAATACTTCTTCCGTCCCGAATTGAATTGCAAACTTTGACCGGCACAAGGATTAAGAAATGACAATAAATGATGTTTGCTTTTTACACTTTTGCCCATCTATCTAAAAGTAGATGTCTTTAAGTTAATGGGGAAAAAGAAAAAGTAATGGTAAATTTGTCACTTTATTCTTATTTACATAGCTAAAATAGAAAGTGTAAAACCATTTTGGGACAACCAAAAAAGAAAATTTTGTAAATCAAATTGGGACGAAGGGAGTACTTGATAGGAATTTAACAATATTTGATTATTATTTTTTTTGCAAATAATATTTGATTATTTTTAAAAGTTCAATTTGTAATATATTAATAAATAAGATATAGTCAAAGTAGAATATATGAATAGTGCAATATTACCAATGTTGTAACTAAAAGAGAACGGGGCACTGTGTTTTTAAATCATATAAACAAATCTAAAATGTAACATACGTGTAAAAGTCACTCGCATCAATAAGCATTGAATTATTTAAAGAAACCTTATAAATTGGTTTAGTCACAATTTATTATTTTATATATACCAATTTAAGTATCGTTGAATTTTAGTTTCCCTATAACAATCACTTTCTCACATAAACTAGTGTTTACAAAAAGTGTATCATATTAGAATAAGAAAAGATAAACAAACTTGATGTCATAAAATTCACTAAAAATCACATTATGATATAAAATATATAACAGAAAAAAGTTTATAAATATGAAAAATATATTGCAAAAGGCCAATAGGCTCCTGTACTCGTACCGAGTGCTCAATTCCCTGTACACTAAGTGGTATTAAAATGGATGTGGTTTGATAGTAAACTAGTACTGTACCCGTACGGTGCACGAAAATGATTTATCAAAATAAGTTACATATGAATAATTGTAATAAAAGTGGAATATTGGAATATAATAAATTGACGATAATAACTATTTAGTTGTTCACTTAATACGATGATACGATGTAATCGAATTGCATTGAATAATATTAAAATTATAAGTTATGAAAAACATCTTTGTACACTACATTTATGGTCTCATCTTTTCCCCATCTTCATTAGAATGAAGCACCATTGGAGCACAATCGGTGGATCTTTTATGGTTGGTAACCGAACTAAATCTTGAGTGCAACACAAAAATTATTTTGGACAATATTTCATGGAAATAGACTCAATCCTCTCTTCGTACCAAAGAATGCACCGGGATGGATCCATACATGGATTACATGCATAATTATCACTAATGCCCCAAATATCTGCACACAAAACAAAACATAAGATAAAATATAAAGGAGTAATTTATTACAAATAAGTATGGCAAAAGGGTCAAATACGGCCGTCTACTATTTATAATCCTTCATCTAAGTCCTACAAAAAAAGGTGTCATGTGATATAAAAATACATGTGTTGCAATTTCATATATCCATTACAAGTTGAAGCATTTTACATATAAGTATGAAAAAAAACATTATTGAATGGATAGACAATTAAAATATGAAACTCATGAATGTTAACAAATTTTGAAACACTCCTTTAAAAACAATTGTTATTACATTGGTACTTTGGCCTTCCTTGTCACATATAAAAATCTTCAAAACCATTAGGATCAGTAATACACGAAAGAGATACATACAATTAGGGGTGGGCATAAAACTCGAATCGAACTAGTACCGAACCATCCCGTAATGGTACCGAACCGAATACTAGGTATTTAAATGGTTCTATAGATTTTTGTCCCGTACCGAAACCGAACCATTTGAAACGGGTACGGGTTTGGTCCTAGATTTTGAGAACCGAAAAATACCGGACCGAACCGTTCGAAAATAATGCATTTGAATTTTTTATAATTTATCTATACCAATAGATCTCTTTTATAGACAAATAATTTTATAGCCCACATATGTATTCATGCGTTCCTAAACTAGCTAAATGTGTGTGTTTATATTATATACTAGTATATATTGTTATTTTTCCTTTTTAGATAATTTATGTTATATTTTGATATGTATTGAAAGAATATTAAAATTTTAGAAATCATTAAGGACTATTCATTTATAGTAATGTAGTGTACATGACTTTTTGTGGTATCATGTTTGCGCAATTTTACAACTTAATTAATATGGTTTAAATCTTAGCTCTCAAGGTTCAACTATAAATTAAATTAGATATTAATATGTAATATTTAACCTAGAATGATGATAGAGTATATAGACTCGGACCCCGGGTCTCACTACTATTGGGCCTGGACAGCGGCCCGCACACGCTTATCGAATATCTTTTGTATTATTGTACTGTTTATATATCATCTGTATGTACTAGATTAGTCTTTTATGTAGTTGGGCCTATTGGGCCCATATTAGCGGTCCGGCCCATTATTTCTCTATTTATACTCCTCTTGGAGTCACTTGTAAACCCTAGAACACAATTCCTAACATTTAGAACATACTATTCATTCTTTTTTCCCTCTCTTTAGCTCAATCTCTCCCTAATTATATATATTTGGATCCCAACAATCCATCAATGATGCTTTCATTGAGAGTTTTGAGCAAAATCAAGTGAGCAGTCCTCCAAAAAACATCCCAAAATTCATTCCAAACACAAAAAAACTAGCCAAAAATGTTCTAGAAAATCCAAAAAATGAAAAAATATGGAATTTCAAATCTAAAATTTCCAGATCTGGTCCAGAGATGCCACCGTCGGCGCGCTGTCAGCTGAATCTTGCTGCCATCCAGTCCAGATTCTGTTACCGTTGCTGCAGATCTTGCAAACCGTGGTTGCATATCTCGCTTGCGCTGCTTCAAGTTATGGTCGTCGCAGCCTTGAAGGACTCCACCAAAGCTGGAGATGTGGCCTCCGTCAGTCAGCGGCGGAACCAGAACTTTTTCGAGCAGGTGACGAGGAATGTATCAAATAAATACATCATAATAAATTTAGAAAAAAAACACATATGATTGTCTAAATTAAGTGTCGTAAAGCTTAATGTTTACATATAAGTCCAAAACTAACTACTCTGAGAAATTAGGGGAGATAATTGTGTCCTGCGAGTTCGCATCTGTTGAAAGCGTTGCAAAATTACTTCATTTTCAATGGTTGCAAAAATCTCTTTCTCGATATATACAACCAAGCTATCATTCATCCATTCATCTCCCATCCCATTGCGCAAATCAGTCTTGATAATTTTCATAGCAGAGAAGACTCTTTCTACTGAAGCAGTTGCAACCGGTAAAACCAAAGCTAACTCAATAAGATGGTATACCAATGAAAAAACCTTGTTCATTCCAGTTTGAACCATTTGCTTGGCAAGACATCCTAAATCATCAACCGTAGAAAATTGATCATGATCCCGGACGGTATGAATATAAGTCTGAAGTTGTTGCTCGAGTAAAACACGATCAGTACATGAAAAGTCCTCCGGATAAAGTTCAGCCATGCGGAGTAATTTGTCAATGTCAAAATGACAAAAAGAGTTTCTTGGATCAAGACATGCAATACAACTCAACAACTCAGTACTTGCTTCAGGAAAACGATTGCTCATCTCTGAAATCATCTTATCAAGAACCTATCACACCATAAAGACAACATTATTGAGCAAAAGTATTATTATCAATTTATAATAAAAGAAGATGTAAAATAATTATACCTCACAAAATATTCCCCCACGAAAGTGTATCAAATTCGAAATTGTCTCTCCGTTTCGCCTACTACGACCACGAACTTTCACATGTTCTTCCATATTAGATAATGGAATCTTTTGATTTTCACAAAAAAGATTCACTTCCTTGAAGAGATTATCCCATCCATTATCTCGACATTCTTGTAACTGGGCCTTCATTGTACTAATCAAATGAATAGCCAAGACAATATTTTGATCTTTTTGTTGCAAGGCAAGAGACAATTCATTTGTGATTCCAAGTAGATATATCATCAAGTGCATCACAAATACAAAGGCCAGGCAGGGCATGAGAAACCACGCAGCAACTAGATTGGAAAGTGTTGACTCGGTCAAGAGTCTCCTACCATTCTAATCAAGCAGATGATGGGTCATGGAGTGCTGCTCTCTATTCTAATCCGCATAATAATCTTTTCAAAAGATAAAAGATAAGTATTCTCCCACTTCCTATTACTTGCCAAAAATAAATTTGATAAGATAATTTACAAAAAAATGATGAAATATTTTAATAATATAGCATCAAACTTCAATCTCAAGGGGCGAGTCATCTGTGAAAAGACCCGTAAACAGCGTCTAGCGGATCCCAGCTACGAATTTGAGTGACAAGTTGAGCTAGATTATTAATTTACTATCATTATTTTTTAAATAGTGTGTATTTTTTGACATTGAAAAAACGGACTTATGAATTCCGAGCATTCGCGTACACCGGGCGAGCACACACACTCGCGCCACCGGGTCACGTCAAACGAGTGTGGATAGTAAGCTCCCAATCCATATGTTATCAAATGCATACTTTAGTTTCTATGTTTTGTATGAGTTATGTGTGTCTCTAGCTATCAGAAATGAACTGCGATCCCTCAGCGGTAGGTTCAGTCCTTTATGCGTGCCACGCTCCAACTAAGCATAGAAACCTAGTTTGAGCTGCAACTTGGAAATTTGAGGCAACTTAATTTAGGCCCAAATCCAATAGCGAATTATAAGCTCAAGAAATTACAACAATTTTATTTGAATGCATAGGTGCAACTAAATGATGATCTCATACTGACCACTTGGTCGTCTCTCCTGGTCATCTTTATTTGATGGCTTGGACTTCTTATAGGCCTCTCGGCCACATGTCTCGGTCACTTTATTTGATGACCTGGACATCATAATATGGATGATCACTCGACCTATCTCTTAGTCATCTTTATTTGATGACTAGGGCTACCTATCATTCCGAGCTACGCACATACGAGGATCGATAATCTTGGTCATCCCTTTAGCAAATGTCGATGGTTGCAGTTCCACACCTAGGCCGAAGGGCTCAGCCCTTTTGTTTCGTTTTGGGGGCATCCGGTGTACTCTTTTTCCCTCATTAGGATTTTTTCCCACCGGGTTTTTTCCTAATGAGGTTTTTAACGAGGCATCTCCCCAACATGGACAAAAGGTGTTGACCCTCGGTCCCTATTGAAGACATCACGCGACATGCACTACTTCTACTCCTCTTCACCTCACTACATTCACCTCAAGGAGTGGGGGACTGGAAGAGCGGGGGACTTAGCGCCTCCGTTAACCAAAGAAGCAGAAATTCAAATTTTTTCACGAAGTTTACTCACCAGACGACGACATATCAGCACACAATTCTACTCCCTTTCGCCCAGGCCCACCCCAAATTTAAAAAAAAACTTTACTTATTAATGTAAAAGAGTCAGGTGGCCCAGCCCAATGCCCTGGCTACGCCTCTAAATATGCATATCCATTGCAAGCTAAAGTTCTGCAATTGTTTTATAACTAATGCTTCCAAGAGTGACTGTTTGTTCAAACTCGCAGTGACAACCATGGTTCAAAGTTGCATCTTCTTATATAGATAATCCACACTGAAATCAAGTGATGGCAATAAGGTGGCATACCTGTAGTCATAAGTCAACGGCTCTCCCACTTCAATGTCCCGTTCAGCAAACACACCGACACGTGTCTCATGCTCAACTTGCCTATAGTGAAGGAACAAACATATGAGCAGTTATTCTATCAACAGAGCATGCCACAGATTTCAATAAAATAAATCAAATATTCTTATTCATTCATTGCATGTATATGGGACAATGGCGTTGTTGCTCAAAATATTTCATGGTAAACAGAAGGACAAAATCATGATTTGCTGGCAGAACATGATTATCATCAAAAGAGATCGTGACAGTCACAAAACCCTGCCTAAGGAGGTATTTACATTTATTTAACATAAAATTCATAACTTTACATACAAAACTAGTTTATATCTTTAAATATTTAAGAGTTAATTTTATTTCAATACAGGCAGCATCACCATCGGCAAGTGCCATGTTTTTGTTTAGAAAAGGATATGTAGGTGTGTAAATGAGCAAGTAAAAAGTGTGTGATTCTGAATTATAATAGAGCTGACTAACCACTTTTCCAGTTGGCAGTTGGGGTCACAGCTGTGATTCAGAAAGCGTGAAAATATTACCTTGAAAGGTTGCATCAATTGTGAAATCCTTCCATAGCTCACACATGTAGAAGTTTTTCTGTCTCTTGTATTTCATTTCCCAAAGCCTCTTTTCACACATAGCATCATCAATTACTGAAACAGATAGTGAGGTACAACATTACAACTTTAAGCTCTAAACGAGTCTTTAAATTTGTTCAAAAATCAGTTTAAACTTTTCCTGATGTAGTAGTATAGTAGTTCTCAAAAAGTAAGAGAAAGTTAAGAGTTTTGCTGATAAGTCGTTCCCTAAAGATAAGTTTGGCTACTGGTAAAACAATGCTTAAGTTGTACACTTGTTTGTATCAAATTTCTACAGGTTGGCATGCTGGAACCCCCTCAGTTTGAAATAAACTTGAAAACTTCCGTTTTACTTGGTAACATTATACCTTCTGATGTAGGCATGTAGCAATCCTATATTCCTATATCTACTGAAGAGGTCCAAGAGAGAAGTGTGAGAATGTTTATGTCCAAAAAGGGAGACATCACACTCTAGCAATCGCGTACGGGAAGGGTCAAGGACAAAAAGTATGAAAAAGCATAAAAGGGTCGTGAAAGATGAGTATGCAGGCAAAATAAAGGATGCCAAAGTGAGCTTCTAAAAGCATAGTTTTACAAACAAAAATAGATTACATCTTGGACAATGGATATAAGAGGCGTATGAATGCAAATACGTAAGCAAGAATGCATCATTTGTAGCATTGGCTGGAGAGAGATGATTCATATTATAACAAGATCCACTTTGAGATGAACATCGTCTCCCCATGATATATACTTATTGCCGAAAATGAAATACAACAACATCCGAGCCTTAGTCCCAAAAGAGTTTGGGATTGTTGGCTCACAAACTCTTTTGGCTTTTGCATTTATTTGTAATATTTCATTTTCATTGCAGGACATGAAATATTACAAATAAATCATAATAATCCAATTGATTTTTTAGTTGTTTTGGCAAGCAGATAAGGATTTTGCATGAAAGAATGTGTAATCTGCATTAACATTCTGAAGGGTTTGATAATGTAATAGATTGTACAATGATGACCACGCAAATATCCTCAGATAGAGACTGTAGAGTACGTAAATGAGGGAACCAGACCATCAATAAATTGAAGAATCACCTTCTCTGATGTACTCTATGATGAAATCCCCCTTCTTGATAGCTTCTCTGGCATTATTAGTTATGAAGTAAGGCGGGTAAGTGGTCGCCTCACACCCAATATTTCAGAAGTCATTTCAGATGTCAATTTTTCAGTTATACATGTGTCTGTTTTAAAGTAAAATGACAAATTGGGTTTATCTTTATAAGTTCAACTGATCAGGCCGAGTGGGTTAAAAAACCATCCTTGCTCTCCACTCTCCAGCTCTGTCCAGGAAGTTTACAGACACCCTTTTCTCGCATCAAGTTCCGGACCATAGCCGATATTTCCCATTTCCCACACACTGCATACATACTTGACAATTGTACAAAAGCACCACCTGAATCCTCAGTAGGATCAAGCTCCATAAGTTTCTTGGCAGCTAGCTTTCCCAAGACTTCATTACCATGATAAGTAACACATCCTCCCAAAATTGATGACCACATGCTTACATCAGCCTCATAAGGCATTGTTTGAATGATATTTACAGCCTCATCAAGACATCCACCTCGTACATACAGATCCACCATGCATGAGTACTGTTCAATCCCTGGTTCAATATGGTAGTCATTTTTAAATGCATCAAACCACTTTTTTCCTTCTTCTAGTAACCCACAGTGGTTACACGCAAACAAGATTCCCGTGAGTGTGATATTTGAGGGCCACACACCCGCCCGTCTCATTTCAGAGAATATGTCCAGTGCTTCAAGTCCATAGCCATTTGTAGCATAACCCATCAACATAGAATTCCATGAAGCCTCATCTGGGGCCAAGACTTGGTCAAAAAGCATCTTAGCTTGTTTAACTAAGCCACACTTACAATAAAGATCAAGTGTGGCGGTAGAAACAACCTGGTAAGAATCAATCCCTATGACGATAGCTCTGGCAAAGACCTGTTCGCCTAGCTCGAGTGAAGTGATGCTGGCACACACGCTGATCATGCTAGCACAGCTAAACCTGTCCATCTTCAAATCCATCTTATTCATCTTGTTAAAAAAATCAATGGCTTCAGATGATAAACCATTTTGGGTTAAACCAACTAATATTGCGTTCCATGATATCAAGCTCTTGTGAGGCATGGACTCAAATATACACTTGGCATCTTTGACTTTACCGCAGCTGCAATAAATGGTGATCATAGAATTTAGTAAAATAGTATCATGCACTTTTAGCTCATCGAAAACTTTACATGCATCGCATGAATGTCCACTCTTTGCATATGTGTCAACTAATGAGGAGGCAACTATTAGATCATCTCGTAACCCAAGCTTACAAGCCAAACCATGTAAAAGCTGGCAATTATCAAGACTATTTGCTATGTTGCATGCACTTAAAACAACAACTAAAGTTGAATAGTCTGCTGTGGTTCCAGCTTTTTGCATTTCATTAAACATGATAAAGGCGTTTGACACATCATAGTTTTCTATGTATCCTGATATCATTGAGTTCCACAATACAACACAAGGGTTTATACCTTTGGCATCGAAAATTTGTCTCGCATCCTTCATTCTACCACACCTTGCATATGCTAAGATCAAGGCGGATAAGGAAAAATCATTGGGAAATCTATCTTTACTCAAAACATAGTGAGCACTATCCAGATCTCCACTCTTGCCATACATGTTAACTAGTGAGCTAGACAATGTAGAATCAACTTCTAATTTATCTATTATAATGCGAGCATGAATCTGCTTCCCCAAATGAAGGCTTCCTAAATCTGCACAAGCCTTAACAGCCGAAGTCAAAACAAAAAGATCTAAAGAGGATATCTCACCAGGTACACGGCCTCCTGTATTAGAAAACTCCCTAAACAACTGTAAAGCAATACTGGAGAATCCATTTCGCGTAAACCCATCAATCAAACAATTATATACTTTAGCATTCTTTCTTGGCATCTCATAGGAAAGACGCTGAGCAGTACCTAACTCCCCAGCTTTTACCAGTCCAATGATGATCACATTCCAAGAAAAATCGTTCTTTTGGGGCATTCTCGAAAATAGCTGCAACGAGTCACTTAGCATCCCGCATTTTATGTACCCTTCTAGCAGTGTGTTCCAGGTGAAGTGGTTTCTGTCGGTCATATCTTCAAACAGCTTACGGGCATCAGAAATTTGCCCGCACCGCACATACATCTGTAGGAAGCGGTTGGCTACCATGAGAGCGGAACAAAGAACGCCCCTTTTTAAGAAAAGAAGGTGGAGCTTCCTTCCCTGTAAATGGGAATCTGGGGTGCTGATGCTGTTGACTAAACGAGCACAAGATTGCAAATCAATTTCCATCTATGGTAAAAAGTCGTCATCTTTCTTGTTTATCACAGATGTTGCACGTCATTTTACCTGTCATCCTCTTTGATTCCAGGAACGGAATCTCAACCAGTCCAATCCTATTTGAGAAGCTTATTTGAGAAGTCTCCTTTTCTCCTGGTTCTTCAATCTTCACCCGGGGGGGACCAGCACGACTCAGTTCGTATGAGGTGCAACCGCCTGTTACAAGCTTGAACTATAGGCGTGTACTCCTCCTTTCCTATTTTATCTTCCACCTAGTTTTGACACACAATTTAGGATTTAAGATAATGGGTATTGTACGATAAAAATGTGTAAGAAATGTTGTGAACCACAAATTCTTTACTAAAAAGGGAAAGTGGAAGTTTTAATTGGTCGAACGAAAAATGAAAGTTAGAAGTTTTAATAGGAACGGAGGGAGTACTTTTTTTGTCTCAAATAACATGATTGATGTAATTCGTAACTCGCGTTGATGTCAAATGTAATTTATGTGTATATAAAATGTAACTTGTTGAAAAATTGAACAATGATTTTTTTGGTGTTTTAGATATTATAAACATTAATTTCAATGTAAACAATGAAAAATTAGTCCTAATAGCATAATTACTTTTTTTATAAATAGTGAATATGTTTTATTTTTAATATTAGGGCAATAAAATAATATAGTTGGAGTTTATTCCGTGGTGTAACTCGCATACATTAAGATGTAACTCGCGTATATTAAGATGTAACTCGCATACATTAAGATGTAACTCGCGCAGAAGAAGATGTAACTTCATGATATATTATCAAAGGTAACTTCAAGAATCAAAATAAACAAACTCAATGTTTTAAAAACCTCTAAAAATATATAAAAGTGATAAAAAATTACGGAGTACATTATACAAAAAGTGTGTCAATATGAAAAATATTACAAAAAAGTGTATCAATATAAAAAATATATTACAAAAATAGCGTATGGACTTCTTCACTTTATTGTACAGCAGCAACAAGCAGCAACGGTCAATTTAAAAAATGCAGTACATGTGTTTGCTTCAAGGGAGAGTGCTAGATGATTCATTTAAAAAATGGTGAAGATCAATTCAAAGTGGAGCAATAATCTCTGAGTCCCGTATGGCCGGAATTTTTAATTTCTGAAGTGCGAAGCAAAAATTATGGGCGGTCGTGCTAGAGGAGTTACGTTCGGTAGGGCGGCTGCACAAAAAATAGATGCCGTTTATATGAAATGGTGTCGTTTTGGGATCAGTACACCACGAGCATGGTGGGCCGATCCCACGGTATAATTAGTGAGCACGACTGACTTGCAGGGCCACATTAACACATACGGAGTAAATAATACTACCTCTGCCCCATTTTAGTTAAACATCTTTGACTTTTTCAATAAAAAATAGTAAGCTTTGACCAATTATTTTAACTAATATATTTATATAAAATTTAATAATTTTATACTTTTATGATAGTGTTTTTGACAATGAACTTTTTCATATCACTTTCATATTATCAATACTTTTTGTATATAAATATATAATCAATCCAAGTTAGACAATATTGACTTAAAGTCAAGTTTGGCTAACAAAAATGAGACAGAGAGAGTATATATCATGAATATATTGATAACCAAAACAATAAATCGTATAGGAGTAGGTGTATAATATCCTTCGAAGAAATTAAATTATTCGATGAAGAACAACCAATGCTCGATCGTTTAAGAGTCTGTGTAATATCATAACATAGGGATGGTTTGTCAAAGTGTCAAACAAACCAGAAAAACTACAATTGAAATAATATGAGTATAGCTGTAAAAATTACGGAGTATATTATAACAAACTAATTAAATCAATAAATACACAATACAATTAACAATCTAGTAAGTGCAATTATGAGAATATAATTGCAGAAGAAATTAACGATTTATAGAATGAGAAGAAGAAACCTCGAAGTGAGAGATTCGGAAATTAACTCGGAAGTCGAAAGGACCGAACCCGGACTCGCCGAACGGTAAGATGGGCTGACAGCCAGATAGGACCCAGAGGCACAACCGCACAACCAGGGGCGTGAGGGCTGCTACGCATGGACCGCTGGGCTGCAGGGGCTCAATTACAAATATATTATAATATCTAATAAAATCAAAACTAATAAACACCGATGATAAAAATGTTGGTGTAACTCTAATGCAGAATGTACTTGTATACAATTTGTTTTAGTTGTTGTACCATTCATCATTATAATATGTTTGCTCCTTACCTCCGTTAATTAAGTTCAAAACGTTAGAGCTTCCACTTAGCATTTTATCCTTTGATTTTTTTATTATTCTATATACTTGATTGCTTTTATTTCCATTTAAAGTTTTCGTTTTTTTTTAAATTTTCTCTCTAGGTTACTTATTTGTTACAAAGATAAATTTTCATCTTCTCTTTTCGGAATGAAATTACCAATCCACACCAAAATTTCTGCACGGATTGCAAAAATGAATACTTTGAAACTGCCCTTTGTTATTAAGTTCTTGTGGCCGCAACGATTTGGTCACATCTCTTTGTTATGTCATCGTACTCTTATCGCTTATTGTTTGTTCTCATTTCGTTCATATCAAATCAGTTCAAATCAGAAAAATCAGATATTGTTAGATCATATAAAGAAATTCGGATCAGATTACTTCAAATAGATTTGATGAAAAAAGTTCAAACATGATTTATTACTTTTATTGTTATTATCATTATATTATTTTATTATTATTATTATTATCAATATTATTACTATTACTTCTTATTGTTGTTGTTATTTTATATTATCATAAATGTAAAAGCATAAGTTCTTGTTATTAATATTTGAAAAAATGATAACATTATTAAACTATATTATTAAGATAAAAAATAAATTTTATGTAAATTTATATATTCTCCTATAAAAGTTCATTTTTATGTAAATTTATATCTTCTCATATTTAAGTCCATCCGAAAATTAAAAGCATAAGTTCTTGTTATTGATATTTGAAATTATATTCTTATATTCTCATAGGGTGTTTGGGAACGATCCTTAGCTTGCTCCGGTTACGGGCAAAAAGAAGTCTCACATTTTTTAATCATTTGTTATGTCAAAAAATATACGTAAAGTTCATGTGCAATTTCAAACAATTCAAATCCTCCATATAAGTACCAAGTATTTAATTACTCCTTGGAAGTCTGAACAATGCATACACACAGAACCAATTGCAACTATCTTTTGGTGATTAAGACAAGAGTAATTAATGATCTTTCGAAAGTTGTATGGATTATTAGATTAGAAATGACAAATTGGCTATCCATTCTTTTTAAACAATGCACTTGTTTATTTGTCTTGCGCTGTGTGTACTTAGTCTTGAAAACTGACATGAAATTCAGCTTTAGTAAGTTTTTTACATTCAATTTTCCAGACGTTGGTTATTGATACGGGAGCTGTTGAGAAGCTAACAAAATTAAAGAGCTGAGTATAAATAAAGAGCTTGAAATGAGAAATATTATGCATACCGAGTATAATAGTCTACTTTTCATGTTTGTCATAAAATTTTGATTATTAATATACGGAGTATTTAATCATGTATTACTACAAAAAATCAGTTCTAGCAAATTTATAATAAGCCAGATTTAATAATGTTTTTTTGAAAATAATTTATCAATACATTAATATATAAAATGCAATCAAAGAAGTATTAGACCCTATTTTATACTCTTTCCATTCCAAATTGTTTTGAAAAGTCAACAATTTTTTGTCAATCAATAATAAAAATCAATGCTTCCTATCAATAATTAATTCAATTTTTAATAATCAAAATTTATATATTCATAAATTACATAAAAATCACTTCACAGTTGTAAACTTCAAATTAGAATATAATTAAAAAATGACATCCTAATTAAGCGAATATAATGAAATTGCTTGAACTAGAGAAGTCAAATTTGAAAATCAATTTGAGACAGAGGTAGTATGAATTGGGGGTGAGCCGGCCTAGAAATCTTTGGAGGGTTGTTCGAATGAGTTTTTTCATGACTCAAATGAGAGTAGATAGATTAGTTTACTCTATTTAAAAGGGTTATTATTTGTTTTGTTCATAAAAGCATACTCAAAAGTTTCTAAACAACATCTTTATGGATGTTGATATATACAGCGTACAAACTAAAGATTAAAGGTGTGTTTAGTTACCCTATTTCTTCTTGAAGTGGGTAATAAAAGTACAATACTCAAATTAGTTTAACCGGTGCCTTTATTTGGGATAGAGAGAACAATGAATACAACTAAATAATAAATTGTAATGACTTTACTTCATGTGTTTTTTACAAAACAAATATTTCTATATTGAAATTAAGTCAAATAATTAAATTTGATTAGAATTTCTTTTGTGCTGATATGAGAATAACACATGTAGTATCGATCAAATAAAAAAGTCTTAATGTGAGAAATGAGAGCAACTAAATACTTTGGATGAGAATAACACATGTAGGTAAAAAATGTAGTGGTAATACCGTAAGTTTATGATTTTTTTTATCTCCATGTAAAAGTGCAAACACTTATTATATACTTGCTTCGAAGTCACTTTGAGATTGTAATCTATATTGCTTAACGTAAAGTAATGTTTGCATTTCCTGATCTTAAAAATGACATAATTTTCTATATATCCACACTTCCAGTTTCATACCATTCTATACAATATAAATATATACTACTTCGTGCATCGCACGGGTGAAAATCTTATATTCGTGCATCGCACGGGTGAAAATCTAGTCTTATAAATACCGATACCAACGGAGGTTAGGATATTTTTGACATATAAATTTTGTTGGTGTAACACAAAGCAACATATTGTTGTACAATACTGGATTCTCACCCGTGCGATGCACGAAAAAAAATTGATAAAGAGATATAATATTATTTATTTACATTAACAATAACACCAAAGAATCACAAAATTATAATTTACAAATGAGTGAAAAGAAAATAAGGGTATATAATTAAAGGAATGTTAACAATTCAGGACCTGAAAAATAGACGATTATCAATCTGGGACCTAAAAAATGAAATACTCCGTATAAGATATAGGACCCGAGTAATGTAAATTATCAATTTAGGGTCTCAATGATTTCAAACTATTAATCTTGGACCAAACTTTTTATTTTATTATTATTTTTATTTTAAAATTTTAAAATATTGTTTAGTTTTATTAAACTAATGAACTTTTGTTAAGAAAAGTTTATGAAAAATTAGCATTGGAATTAATAAAAAAATTAAACAAACCAAAACCTACAAAATGTTAGGTTTTGGATTGATAATTTTCCATCATTCGGATTCTACACCGATACATTTCATCTTTCGGGTCCTAAATTGATAATTGATCTATCTTTCTAGTCCTGAATTGATAAAATTCCATAGTTTAAAAGTTTTATAATAACTACTCCATAATTAAAAAGAGCTAGTATGATTCAATCAATATACATAGGAATAAGAAATTTGTCTGCATTTCTCATATACAACAATATCAGCATGGGTGTGCCATATTTTTGGAATTCAACTGTGTAATTCAATTGTGTATATTTACAAAAAGAAAATCTAAAAAAATATATAAATATATTAAATATAAAAACACTTACACTTCAAGATATTAAATAAATACTCCGTATGACATAGAAGCCCATTGAACATCACTTTAATAATAGAATTTCATATATTAGTCCTTTACAAATAAAAGAAGCCCAACTATCCAGCAAAGCCTAGTCCAGCTACCCCATTTAATACTGCATACGAAATGCCCAATCCTGCGCCGTTATTCATTCTCCGTACTCATCAAGTTTATCCTCTCATACTTTAGCTCGGTTGATCCTCGTTACTATCCCTCTTCGATTATTAGCTGAAATTTTGACATGGGTGCTATTCGACCTTTTGAAATTCTCAGACCATGTCCTCAATATGCTCCGGATTTGGGTATATCCCTTATCTCTCTGTCCTACACGTTTAATATTTTGAATGGTTAAAATTACTATTTTCTCTTACTTTTTATTTTGTGTGCATATCCTCAATTACTATGGCTTTTTAGATTGGTTTGTTGATGTTGTTTTTCTTGTCTTAAAAAATGGAGGTCGTTTTTCTTTGTTGGTTGTCCAAGATGCTTTCACTTTTAAAGCTTAGGCAAAAAGGTTTACACCGTTTGGTAAATTTGCTCGGTTGGTTGATATGACTTTCAGCATATATAAAATCACTTTGTTTTTTTTTGTTAGATCTTTGAGTATTTGCGGTGTGGATTAACAAAATTTCATATTTTCTTAATCGTGTGGTTTATAACTCTCTTCTAGTTCATTAGTATAATGAAGATGGCGAAGCTGGTAAATACACATTGGTAAGTGTACTCCTTTAAATAAACTTAAAAGTTTATTTACTTAATTTCACCTTGGGGATCTACTCTCCCAGCTAAAATGTATAGTTTTTGTATATATGAGATAATAAGAAATTGTGTTTGATAAGAAAATGTGTTTGATAAGAAAATGATGTACTTCGATTTTTTCTGAAGGCCTAATAACAAATTTTTTCTAATCCATGAAGACTGTCTATATTTTTTAATTAACAGCCTGCTTTAGAAATACTCATCCAATTAATTACTTTAGATTAATAATTAAGGAGTATATAATAACTTTAGATTGTACGTAGTATAATTCTAATCAAGAAAATTTTGAAGTCTTATATTTCGTATAAAAAACAGCCAGTTTCTTGAAAAATCTCTATTTTTAATCTTTTAAAACTAAATCATCCAATTGTCTTGTAAAAATGTTAATTGGATGTAAATCTATATTTAAAAATAGAGCTTTCTTACTTAGTGTGTATATTTTTAATGGTTGGACTTTCAAGTATGCTTGTTGACCTGTTACACTCAAATATTTTAAATTTTAAACTCTAAAGAATGCAATCTATTTAATTTAACATGCTTAGTTTTATCTTTGTATTTTAATTATCTACTAACGTTTATGTGTGTGTATTACCTGCTTTTGACCTAACTGATAAATGTATATTTATATATATTACACTGTTTTCTTATGAATAATTTAAACGGTTAAGAGCATGGCTACATACTGGTAATTCTGCACCCTAACAGCTACCTCAATGGCCTTTGGATACGCCCTTAGTATATGAACTTGCTGACCTAGTTTTACCTTTTGTTCTTGCCATTTAGTCCATGCATTTGAGAAACATTTCCTACAGTCTTGCCAATTGTAAAAGTATTTATCAAGGGTTAGAAAGCATACCAAAGAAAAGGAATGGTAAGAACTAATTATAAAGATAGAGTCTTACCAATGTGTTGGTTGGGAATGACTACTCATCGTATCAACTAACAATATGCCTTACCTGTCAATTTTGGTGATTGTTAAACATAGATAAACACTACTTAGAACTCATAAATTCTCTTTGTATAATTTTCCTAAAGAGGTTTAAGCACATGATCTACCTGTGCATGGTAGAAAACAACTGCTCGTGTCTCCCTCTTGAAATGTGGTCAAGCTTCAAAGCCCCAAACTTCTCACTTCCAGAACCGTTTCTATGTTGTGTGTTGCTCTGGGCTCCCTAGTTGATCAAGCTGGACATATTTATACTACGTAGTACTCCCTCTGTCCCGAAATTATCTTCATTCTTTCCTTTTCGATCCATCCCAAATTTATCTCCTCTTTTCTTTTTTGGTAAAGAATTTGTGGTTCACAACCATTCTTACACATTTCTCTTTTCTCTGCACAACTCTCCACCACATATTTGAACAAAAAGTACAACACAAAAGTACAACATACAGTAAATGCCAACGTACGATCTATGAAATTCACTTTTCACGCGTGCCCTTGGCTTCACCATGGCTTCACCATTAATTGAGCAATAAATGAGATGTACTATTTCCTAAGCAATGGACCCAAACCCGTATTTTCAACCCGACCCAGTTAAAAACTTGGTGTTTGGACGGGAAACTGACCTGGCTTCCCACAGCTCTTTGTATATAGAAAGATGGTCGAGATCATTGTACTGTACAACTTCCTCCATTAAAATTCAAGCATCCAACCTCTTGTATATGATGACTCTTTCATTGCACTTTGTTCATTCTCTTCTCTTTGTATTTAGTTTATTCTTCTATTAATAATTACACATAATTTGGAAATTTACATTCAATCCAGGTGTTGCATAAATTGAAACGGTTGTACTAACATCTCCTATCAATTTCCTTAGAAAAGTTAAAAGCGAACTCACGAAAGTTTTTTCATGAGATTCCCCGCCTCTTCAATAGCCACACTAAAGTGTCAATTTTTTCACCTCCAATATATCTTGCTTCGATCTGGGAAGCAAGCGAAACTCCTCTGTCAAATGAACATTCTCAGGGGATACAAAGTCAACTGCAACTTTGATGCGAACTTGATGTGGGCATCCTGCAGGAATAAAAACAAGTATTGCTCAAATGTCCAAGGCTCAACATTGAATTCATCTTTCAGCCGTTTCTTGTGCTTCTCATTGAGATAAAATATCTGGTCATGAATAGGATGAGTGACAGAGGATCATTTTTTTTGTGTAACGAAACTCTTTCCAGTGCTTCTAAGTATTGTGTTAACTTAGCAACATCCAGAGGAGACTTAAACAAATCAGACTTAAACACACCGGATCAGACAGACTTGACTTCCGTATTTATAAAATACATAGAGACCGGACGTTTACCAAACAAGACCAACCAGTTCAGACCAGCACATATTTAAACAGACCAGACTTAAACAGAGCAGACCAGATCAGATCAACAAATTACAGTCCAGGTAAAACATCCTTAGTGTACTAAATGATAGTATGATACAACCTCCGTCCTACTGACATTGGGACATGAATAGGATGCGTGATTATTAAAAAGTGGGTTTATGTGAATAAAGACAAAAAGAACTCACACTCTTACTGTGTATGATTCTTTCACTGCAAGAGATGATGAAGAGTTGGAAGATACTTATCAACGTTATCTGATGGTTCTAAATGAGATGAGGAAGATCAACATCCGAAAAACCCACATGGAAGTCAACTTACGCTTTCTGAGAGCACTCAAGCCTGAATGAAAAAAGACAACGAAGAGGATCAGACACAATAAAGACCTTGATGATATGACCATTCACAATCTCTATGATTAAATTGTCTAGGTGAATTTTCTGAGGATGTCATAGAAAAGGTAAAGTCTTCAAAAGGGAAGAACAATGTTGATTCTCTTGCTCTTCTTTCCACTGAAAGAAAGAAGAAAGAAAAGACCCCTAAAATAACTTTTGAAGTTGACTCATCCGATGATGACAAGAATATTTTTTATTATGATCCTGAGATTAACGAGCTGAAGAAGGAGCTTGCACTGCTAACAAATCTGACAAGGAAGATGAATGAGAAGTTCACGAGGTTTAGAAATCCTTCAACAAACAACAAACAAAGAACTTCTTTTTCAAATTACCCTGACAAGGCCAGCAGACCCTCAGACAAAGCTGTCAGTGAGGACCACTTGAAGTGCTTCAAATGTGGAAAGACGTGACACTTTGCTAAAGAATGTCGTTCTGCTAAGAAGACGGATTTCAATTAATATATGCAAAAGGCACAACTTGCAAAGTAGAAAGAGCAATGAGTAGTCCTAATGGCTGAACATGATAGCTGGTTGGAAGACTCAGAAGACAGTGACCTAGAGAATTTGGCATTGATGGCTAGAGTGACGGATTCTGAAAGTGGAAGTGATGACTCTGAAGATGATAATGGTCCTTCATCTGCTGAGAATGTGATTACTTAACACCATTTGATTTTGAATCATATGGTAATTGTGATTCATATCTTTTAGCTAAAATGACCAATAAACCTTTTCTTGGAAAAGGATTGCGGGCCAAAGAAGTGCTTGAGTTGATTCACACAGATGTGTATAGACAGTTTCCAACTCAAGCTAGAGGAGGATTTCTTTACTTCATCATTTTAGTGATGATTTCTCTAGGTTTGGATTTGTGTATCTTATGAAACACAAATCAGAAGCTTTTGAGAAATTCATGGAGTATAAGGCTGAAGTAGAGAAACAACTTGACAAGAGTATCAAGACTATACGATCTGATTGTGAAGGGGAATACATGGGTAAGGAGTTTTTTTAATTACTTGAAAGGTCAAGGAATTCAGTCACAATGGACTCCTCAGAAACACCTCAATTTAATTGGGAATCTGAAAGGAGAAATAGAACATTGTTGGACATGGTTAGGTCCATGATGAATTCCTGTCTCTTCCAACATCTCTTTGGGGGTAAGCATTGGAAACCTCAATATAAATTCTGAATAGAGTTCCATCTAAGTTAGTGCAAAAGACACCCTATGAGTTGTGGTGTAATAAGAAGTCTATTCTTACACATACTAAAGTGTGAGGTTGCCTTACATATGTGAAGAAAATGGACATTGACTAGTTGAGACCTAGAAGTGAGAGATATTATTTTGTGAGGATCCTAAAGAAACTAGAGGATACTAATTTATCTTCCCGAGGGATATAAAATGATTATTTCCAGACAAGCGAGATTCCTAGTACAAGACTTGGTCTTTAAGGAATGTAATCGTTGGAGAATAGAACTTGATGAAGTTCAAGAATCACAAAATAATATAGAGGACGAAGACTTGTTAGATGGTTGATGGATAGTCTACCCGGGGGTATATATCCGAAGGGTTACTACGGGGAATAACTTAGAGAGAAGTCAGAGCCAGTAAATATATATAGAGAGAGTGTATTATAAATGTGGAACGTTTTCAGCGTGGTTACAAATGGGGAAATGGGGTGCTATTTATAGTAGCAATAAATGCCGGGCAGGGACACGTGTCAAGCGCTCATTGGCCGAGGGGTCACCTCAACTGGTTGGCGCTGGCAGCCGCATGTGGCCGCATTCAATGCGGCTGTTGGATGGGACGTCTGTGCGGGGTACGGTGATCTGTACGCATGTGAGGCAGATATCTTGTCGAGTGAGGTGCCTTCGGCTATAGAGCAGTAACCGAGGGCTCTCCCACCCGATGGCACCCTGGTGCCGAGGGCTCACAATGCCGAGGGCTACTGTTTTCGCCGTTTTCTCCCAGTTTCCTAATTTGCTTGGGAAACCCGCTCTGTGATAATTTGGAGCCTTCGGCCAGGGGGCCGAAGGCACCCCTGTGCGTTGTGCGGGCTGCTCGGTACTCTGGGCGCTGTGATTTGGGTCTGTTGGGCCTTTTGGGCCTGTAGGGCCTTCGCTGGAGTAGTAGGAGTCTGTGGGTCGGGGGTTCCCGGGCCATATACTCCATCAGGAGTCCCTCACTCCTTTTGTCGAAAGGTACTTGAGGGAAAAGGAGTAACTTGCGCTTGCCCTTTGATGTTGTCCCGTCGTGATTCCTGAAGTTTGGTGAGGATTTGTTGCTTTTAGGTCCCTGCCGAAGGCAGTCCCTCAGTTACCCACATGTCGGGACTTGAGGGGTTGCTTTGTTGTTTGTTGGATTTTCACAGATTTTGTAATTTAATGATTTTCCCGAAGGGGTCATCCAGTCCCCCACTCCTTGAGGCACTTGTAAAGTGGTGAAAAGGAGTAGAGTAGTTGCGTTGCTGTTGTGGGCCGAAGGCTGACGCTTTTCGTTTCATTTTGGGGGGATGCCTCGTTAAAAACCTCATTAGGAAAAACCCTTTGGGAAAAAATCCTAATGAGGGAAAAAGAGTGCACCGAATTCCCCCAATGATGAATCGAGAATGTCAAACCTTGGTACAAAGTGGAGAATTACGGGAATGCCGAAGGCTCTCTCCTCTGAGGGCTCCTGTGTTGATTAGCCGAAGGCTTGCTGTTGATGACCTGGTGGTGCCGAAGGGGAGCCCCTCAATCCAGGGATCGAGGGCCTGCCAGATGAGGGCAGAAGTGAAGTTGTTACCGGGGGGTCCAATGTCTGTTGATGAGTTGGTGATGAAGATGCCCGAGGGCTCCCATTTCCTGTGTGCCATGGGCCATCCGTCAATGGGGCACACCCCGGGGGCTACCCGGTTTTGCAGTGCTGAGGGGGAAACCCCGAGGGGTGCCCTGATATGCAGCCCTAGGGATCTGAAGGGGTGATCCCGAAGGCGTGTGTAATGTGCTGTGTGGGCACAACCCGGGGGCACTTCAGTGTAAGTGCACCCGGAGGCTATCTTTGATGAAGTGGAGTGAAGTAGAAAACCCGGGGGCTTCCAAAATATAGCCGTTGGAAATATAGCCGTTGGAATATGTAACGACGGGATATAGCCGTTGGGGGGGGGGGGGGGCACACGTGGCGTGTGATGGCTGGCTGTCCGTGGGCGGCGTCACCGGTTGGGCGAAGACGCGGTGAGTCATGATGGCGTCCATCCGGAGGCCCGGAATCCAGGCCCAAGCCCGGATTCATCTCCTATAAATACCCCAAGGCCAGGCATTCCTCCGTGTGCGATAAACTTGTTAGCGAAGCTCTGTCAATTTTTCTAGAGAGAGAAAGTTCAGCCTTCGGTCAAAACTCAGCTTTCGAGGTCAGTGCTCCCTGCCTTTCTCCTTCTAGCATAGCTGTACTGTGCCCTTAGTTTAGGAGATAGAAAAGTTAGGAAACACTACTGTCCACGAGCCCTCGAACAAGGGTGCGAATGTCGTCCCAGAGTGACTCTCAGGACATCTCGAGGACGCCCTCGATGGAGGACGAAGGCATCTCCGATGTGGAGTCAAGCAGTGGTCAGCCCTCGGATTGTGGTGATGCAGCCCTGGCCCGGGAGGTCCAGAAGGAACTCACTGCGGAGGTTGAAGCCGAGGGCTTCGAGCAGGAGTGTGACGATGAAGACTTAGCCCTCGCCTGACAGACAGCGGAGGATGAGGCACAGAATGAGAGCTCGAAGGTTACGATCGCTGTCCTCCCCCCTCGGGGTTCCGGGGAGGCCAGTAGCTCGAGGCCGTTGGATCCGATACCTCTGAGGGCGGTTTCCGGTGTGAAGAAGAAGAAGGCCGCTACCAAGAAGAAGGAGAGGGCCGTCGATCAAGGAAAGCCCGTAGACATGCCCGAGGGGTACAGCTGGCTGAACACTGAGGCCCTCGAGATCAGGTCGAAGGCCGACAGGGCAGATCTGTACGTGACTCAGCTGCACGTGGGGCCCTCGGCCGAAGTGGTGGAGCCAGGTCCCGACGACGTGTTGTCCAGGGCGCCCGAGGGGTGTATTGCTATTCACGTCCTTTCGGTTTCCATGGGACTCAGGTTCCCTCTGCACCCATTCCTCCGGGAATATCTGCGGTTTGTTGGCTTGGTCCCCTGCCAACTCACGCCCAACAGCCACTCCTACATTGCGGGGTTCCTCCAGCTCTGCAAGTCCCGAGGGGTGAAACCCAGCCTGGATCTATTCTTCCAGAGCTTTAATCTGTGCCGGGGGGGGGCACGAAAACGGCGAGGGGTACGCCAACCTGCAGCAGATTGCCCGCTTCAAACTATTCTCCGATGCTCCTTCTTCCAACAAAGGATGGAGGGAACGTTGGTGCTACGTGAAGTTGGATGAGAGCCCTTTCCCGAGGGAGCTACGTGACCGATTCCGAAGGCACGAAAAGATCCGGAGTGCCGCTCTTGAGAAGGACGGCCTAAAGCTGGCCAAGTTCCCGGAGGGGAAAGACAAGAACGTGGCGATCAAAGACTGCACCCTCGAGGAGGATTTGTACACCCTCGGGTTTCGGAGGTACCGCTTCATAGGGGAAACCGATGAAAAGTACCCTCCCTTCAACAAGGCCTTCGGAGGGGCCGGAGGTAGGAGCCGAGGGCTTTAGAATTTTGTACTTAGTTTTTTTTTTCTTTCTTGGATGTTATCGTCCCTTCGCTTAGACCCGTCGGACTAACCCTTTGTTTCCTCTGTGCAGGTATCCCCGTCTCCATGGTGAATGTAAAGGGCCTTGCCCGTTTGAAGAAACAGGACCCGAAGGGGTTGGGACAGGGCATCCAGAAGCCCGCCACCGCCCTCTTTAAGAAAGCCGAGGGCGATGCCGCTGCCGGCAAGAGGAAGGCAGTGGCCAAGGGGTCCCCCCCGGCTACCAAAAAGCCGAAAAAGGGGGATGTCGCCGAGAAGGAGCCCTCGGTCATTATCGCTGATGAGCCCCCCGCCTCCGGGGTGCAGGTGGAGAAGCTGCCGGTTGGAACGCCGGCGGGGGCAGAGGAGTCGCTGCCTGAGATCCTCACAGTTGCGTTCCCGAGGGGTATGTCTTTGGCCAGCGGCGCCGTCGACCCGGGGGCCATCCTAAGGGGTATGACCCCTGAGACGGATAGGGCTGCCCTCGGGGCCTACAATGATGCGGCCCTCGAGGACCACATTCTCCGCTCCTCCCTCTCTGTAAGTGTTTACCTGGCTTTCTCCATCTTCTCCTTTGATTATTTTTGTGTGATTGCCTTTAACTGTTTTTGTTGTTGTTCTGCAGGCTTGCTTAGCCCTCGGCGAACAGGATCGGAGGCTTCAAGAATGGCGCCTTCACAGAGCGGAGCAAGACGCCAGAATGAGGGAGTGCCTTTTCAAGAACCAGGAGGCGGTGAAGCTGGGGGCCCAGCTAGAAGAGGAGTTCCGGTAGATGAGCTTGAAACTGGAGGCTGCAGAGAAAGGCAAGGCCGATGCTGAGGCCGCTGCCAGGAGAGCTGCTAAAGAGGCCGAGGACTCCAAAGCGCTAGCTGTCGCCAGGGCTCAGGAGGAGGCCGTTGAGGCCTTTGTCGCCGAGGGTTGGAGAGCCGAGGGGCGCAAGATGTGGGTGTCCTCGGTCGTGGAGGCCTGCATTGAAGAATGGGCCGAGGGCCCTGGGTGGGAATGGATGGCCCGGAAGGGCAGAGAGTACTATGAAGCCGGCGAGTTCTTCACCCAGGCCCTCATCTACCGGAGGATGGCCCGACATTTGGGCATCGAGCAAAAGGACTTCTCCCCCTCGGCGTATGGTCTTCCCCCCTTGCAGCCTGATGTTCGTGAGCCGCTCCCGGAAGGTGTTCAGAGGCCCGACCTTGAGGACACGGTGTTGAAGAATGAGGCCGAGGACGACGCTGTCGAGACCGGAGCGGAGGCATCATCGAGGCCGGCTGTAGAGGGCGCCCCAGTGAACGATGCTGTCGTAGTCGTGGAATGATTTTGTACTTAGAAATCTTTGAACATCTTTTGTAATGAACAACATTGTTCCTTCGGCTTCGGCCCGTTTGTAAATTCACACTTACTCTTGTTTTTGATGAAATGCATGCTGCCTCCGGGCTTTTCATATTCGAATACGCCTTATGTTTTGGATGTATGCTCTCTCCTTTGATTGTATGCCTTCGGTATTTTTGAATGTATGTCTAGGACTTAGAATACTATCTGATTGTGGCTAGCCCTTAGGAGCCTTCGGTAGTTGGGCACCCTCTGCTGGATATGCGACCGATGGTTCGGCAGCAATTAGGACTTGGAAAATTTTTCTAAGTGTAGCACACATTAGGGCCTTCGGGTGTTTGCAGTAATCCAAGTCCTAGGACTTAGAAAAATTTCTAAATGTAGATTTCCCCTTGAGAGCCTTCGAGATATGGCCTCCCTTCCTGATGTGTGAATGTTGGGCCGAGGGCCCAATGCACAGGACTTAGAGATTTTTGCAAGTGTAGTATGCCATGTTGCCTTCTGCTACTGTGGAGCCGCACCTGTAATATTGAATAGGCCGGGGGCTAATTCTTTTAGGACTTAGAAGATTTTCTCGAGTGTTGATTCCTTGTGTACCGTAGCCCTCGATTGATAGGTAGCCTTCGGCAATTAGGTCCCTCGAGATGAGGGCGAAATATGTAGGATTTAGAAAATCTTCTAAGTGTAGAGTTTCCCTTGGGAGCCTTCGGGAGTTGGCATCCCTTCATGATGTATGAGTAGCTGTCCGGGGGGGGGGGGGGAATATGTAGGACTTAGAGAATCTTCTAAGTGTAAATTTCCCTTGAGAGCTTTCGGGAGATGGCATCCCTCCTTGAGGTATGAGTAGTTGACCGGGGAAAAACATGTAGGGCTTAGAAAATATTCTAAGTGTAAATTTCCCTTGGGAGCCTTCGGGAGATGGCATCCCTCCTTGATGTATGAGTAGTTGACCGGGGAAAAACATGTAGGACTTAGAAAATTTTCTAAGTATAAATCTTCCTTAGGTGCCTTCGGGTGATAGGTGCCCTCTGATTCCACATCACTTTGCGAGATGCCCGGGGGCTACTCATTCAGGACGGAATACCTTTTTTTTTAAGTGTTGTTGTATTGCATGGCCTTCGGCCACCATATTCCCTTGGCTGTAATATTGATTGGACCGGGGGCTCCATCTTTAGGACTTAGAATTTTTTGTAGTGCTGCTTCCCTGTGTAGCCTTCGGGTGCCCGGGGGCTGCTCCTTCAGGACTTAGGATTTTTCTAAGCATAAATTGATGTTGAATCCTGTTGTTGTGAAGAAAGCCAATGAGGAGTGTGTGCCCTCGGCATACACTTTAAAAGTTGTAGAATTTGACCCTTGTCATGGGGAAAGGGCCCTCGGTATTCGTGCATAACAGATGCCTTCGGTGTTTGTTTGAAGTACTGTTTAGTGGACCTTGGACAGTCCAGTCCCTTTGTATTGTTGAAGCCTTCGATGTTTTGTGACCGGAGGTGACCAGGTAGTGGACTTTAGCCGTTTCCTGATGATATTTCTTTGAGTAGTATCCTTCGGGAAATAGGAGTCTTCAATTATCGGAGGTGTTCCCGTGGGGAGCCCTCGGCATGCTGTGATATTGTTGGAGTGTACTCTTCGATTTCTCGCTGAGTCTACTCCCCTTCACCCCCTCTTTTTTTTTTTTTTTTTTTTTTGGTTGGTGGTGAAGGGAAGGCATCAAGAAACTTGGTTTCTTGGTAAGGCTGGGCCTATTAGGAGACCATCAGAATACACCAATGGCTCTCCTCCCTCGGGTTAACCTTCCGAGTGCCGAGGGGATCGAGGGACGTTTCCTGGGCACAAGATATGGTGGTCCGTAACCTGCCTCCCCTTGGAGGATGGCGCGGAAAGCGCCTCATTTTTGAAAGTCGTCCCCTCGGCGCTAGACATAGTCTGTGGCCTGCCACACCCTTGGGGTGTTGGCGCGGGGAGCGTTTCAGTTTGGAAGTCGAATCCTGGGCATTTCTCATGCCTGTCATACCCTGGGGGTAATGACGCGGATAGCGTTCCGTTTTTGAAAGTCGAATCCTGGGCATTTCTCATGCCTGTCATACCCTGGGGGTAGTGACGCGGAAAGCGTTTCAAGGAAGGGTTTTCATTTGCACACTAGTTGCAAATGGCCGGGGGCACTACGTGCCGCCGGCACCGATGGTGGCGCCTTCGGTATATGCGTCCTCGTGGGGTACGGCTTTTAGAAACAACACTTGGTGTTAGTTTCGATGTGTAGCCCCCGGTACTTGGTACCGAGGGGTCTTCTGTAGGAACACTTGGTGTTCTCTTGTTGTAGTTGATGTAGGCGTCTACCCTCGGTACTTGGTACCGAAGGGTCTTCAAATGAAACACTTGGTGTTTCCCAATAGATGTTTGGAAGCTGTTAGGAGAGCATATCCCTGGCACTGGGTGCCGAGGGGTCTTCTTTGAAACACTTGGTGTTTTTTCTTCGTTTCGATATTTGGTGAGGGAGGTGTACCCTCGGCACTGGGTGCCGAAGGGTCTTCTGTAGGAACACTTGGTGTTCTAATCTTTTCTTTTTTGATGTTGAAGGTGGGGAAGTACCCTCGGCACTGGGTGCCGAGGGGTCTTGACTGAAAGCACGTGGTGTATCCACTGTTTGTTGTAGGTGTTGATGGTGTCCGCCCTCGGCAATGGGTACCGGAGGGGGTTCTTCTTGTGGTGAGGCCTGGGGCCTGTAGTCAGTATGAGGGCTTGATGTCTTGAATGTATCTTCATTCTTCGAAATTGGAGGCCTTGGGCCATTGGATAGTACATTCACTAGTTATGAGGGCTTGGCCACTCTTACATTATTGATAAAATTTAACTAAATGGTGTACATTCCAGTGCCTAGAGACCTCTTTCCCGTTGGGGCGTTTGAGTTTGTAAGTCCCGGGTTTGATGATGGCTGCTATGATGTAGGGGCCTTCGAATTTTGGTGCCATTTTTCCTCCCTCGGTTGGTTGGCTGGCTTCCCTCCTCCGGAGGACATAGTCCCCCACTTGAAATTCCCGGGTTCGAACTTTGGCGTCGATGTAGCTTTTAACTTGCCTTCAGTAGTTTTCTGCCCGGATGAAGGCCTGCTCCCGGTGTTATGAAATGAGGTGCAGGTCGAGGGCCATGTTGCTGTCGTTGACCTCGGGGTCATATTGGATCACCCTTCGGGTAGGAAGGGTGACTTCCGTAGGAGCTTTGGCTTCAAAGCCGTAGCAGAGGGAGAAGGGTGTTTCACCTGTAGCGCGCCGAGGGGTAGTGCGGTAGGCCCAGAGGATGTTGTGAAGTTCTTCCACCCAGCCACCACCCTCGGCCTCCAGCTTCTTTTTGAGGCCCTCGAGCAAGGTCCGGTTGGCGTTCTCTACCTGCCCGTTGCCTTGAGGGTAGGCAACGGAGGAGAAGGTGTGTTTGATGCCCCATGCCTCCAGAAGGGCACAGAAGGGGGCTGCCTCAAATTGTGTTCCATTGTCGGAGATGATCTGCTGGGGGACGCCAAACCTTGTGAGGATGTTCTTGAGGACGAAGTGACGGCACTTCGCCTCTGTGATGCTGGCGAGGGGTTCAGCCTCCACCCACTTGGTAAAATAGTCGACGGCCACAATGATGTATCTGTTGTTGGAGGTACCCCTCGGCAGAGGGCCCACAAGGTCTATCCCCCATCGAGAAAATGGGACAGATGTGCTGATGGGGGCATAGTTGACCGCTGGCCTGCCGGGGGCTTTCTGGAAATGTTGACATGCGGTGCACCTCCGGGCAAGGTCAGCACAATCCCTGGCCATGGTTGGCCAGAAGTAGCCCTGGAGAATGAGCCTTCGGGACATGGAGAAGGGTCCCTGGTGAGCTGAGCAAGTGCCACTGTGCACTTCCTCCATTGCGACCTCGACTTCATCTGGATGAAGGCACCGAAGTAGCGTGCCATTGTAAGATCGTTTGTAGAGCCTTCCATCTTCGATGGTGTAGCTGGGAGCCCTTAGCTTTGCCAGTTTAGCGCGGGCCTCATTCTCGGGTAGCTGCCCTGTGGAGATGAAGGCGGTGATATCTGAAATCCAATCCTCCTGACGTTGTTGTATGTTCATCACGGGGCTTGCATGGATGCTTGAGAGGCTAAGTTCCTCGATTTTGGCAATCTTGGAGATGTGCTCGGGGGAGTCTGCCGAGAGTTTAGATAATATGTCGGCCTCGGAGTTCTGAGCCCTCAGTATTTGAGTGAGAGAGTGTGCCTCAAATACCTTAAGCAACTCCTTGGCCGCTTCCTTGTACTGTTTCATTCTTCCTTCCTTGGCCTCATATTCTTCGGAGATTTGGCCAACGACCAACTTGGAGTCGCATTTGATGTGGATCTGCCGGGCCCTCATGTTGGCAGCCAGCCGAAGGCCACATAGGAGGGCTTCATATTCGGCCTCATTGTTGGAGACTTTGAAGGAGAAGCGGATTGCATAGTAGGCCCTGAAGCCCTCGGGAGTAATGAGGACTACCCCTCCCCCGCATGCTTTGGTCGCGGATGAGCCGTCAGTGTAGAGGGTCCACCAGTCGTCCGAGGTAGTCGAAGGCTCCCCGTCCGTGGCTGCCCTTGCGGTGCATTCCGTCACAAAGTCCGCTAGGGCTTGGCCCTTGATGGCAGGCCTTGGACGGATGTCAATGTTGTATTGGCTCAAGAAGATAGCCCATTTAACCATGCGGGAGGAGCTGGTGGGGCTCCTCATGAGGGCGCCGAGGGGTTGATGAGTGAGGACCTGAACGGGGTGAGCCTGAAAGTAGTGGCCCAACTTCTTGACAGTCCAAACGATGGCCAACACCGTTTTTTCCACAGGGGAGTACCTGAGCTCGGCCTCCCTTAGGGTCTTGCTAACGTAGAAGATGGCATGTTGGATGCCGTCTTCCTCCCGGATGAGCACAAAGCTGATGGCTGCCGGGCTAACCCCAAGGTAGAGGTAGAGGGTCTCCCCTACCTTGGGTTTGGAGAGCACAGGGGGTGAAGATATATATCTTTTTAGCTCGTCGAAAGCCCCCTGGCATTCTGGAGTCCATAGAAAGCCAGCCGTCTTCCTCATGATCTGGAAGAAGGGTAGAGACTTCTCTGCCGATTTAGATAGGAAGCGGTTGAGGGCTGCCAGGCGGCCCGTCAACCGTTGAACTTCCTTCACGTTGCGTGGGGGCTCCATGTTGATGATGGCCTGGATCTTCTCGGGATTGGCCTCAATACCCCGTCGGCTCACCATGTAGCCTAAGAATTTGCCCCCTTGGACGCCGAAGGTGCACTTCTTCGGGTTTAGCCGAAGGTTGAATTTTTGCATGATGGCAAAAATTTCCCGGAGGTCGTCAGCATGACTGGAAGATTGCTTGCTCTTGACGATCATGTCGTCGACATAGGCCTCCATGGTGCGCCCTAGGACGGCTTGAAAGACCCTGGCCACCATCCGGGTGTAAGTGGCCCCTGAGTTCTTTAGGCCGAAGGCCATCACTAGGTAGCAGAAGATGCCCTCGGGAGTCATGAAGGCAATTTTTTCGGCGTCCTCCTCGTGCATGAATATTTGATGGTACCCTCGGAAGGCATCGAGGAAGGACATGATTTCACACCCCGCGGTCTCATCCACCAATTGATCAATGTTTGGTAGAGGGAACGGATCCATGGGGCATGCTTTGTTGAGATCAGTGTAGTCCACGCACATGCGGAAGGTAGGGGGCTTCTGGGCGAGGACTACATTTGCTAGCCATGAGGGGTATTTTACCTCCTTGATGTGCTTGATTGAGAGGAGCATGGCGACCTCCTTCTTCACAAATTCCCTTCTCTCGGCGGAGAGGGGTCTTCTTCGTTGTTGCACTGCTTTTGCCGAGGGGTCCACCGAGAGGCGGTGGGTGATGACCCTTCGGCTAATTCCCGGCATGTCCTCCGGCCCCCATGCAAAGACAACGGAGTAGGCGCGGAGGGCGTCGGTGATACCGGTCTTCAAATCTTCAGGGAGCTGGGCTCCAATCTTCACGACTCTCTCCGGCTGGGCCGGATCGAGCGCAAAGTCTTCCTCGTCCTCGGCCGGTTCAGCCCTCGGCCTTCTTTCCTCCTGGTCGACGGCTCCGGTGGTGGTGTCAACACGGAGTTCCGTCTTGCTTACCTTCTTAGTGACCTGAAGATAGCAGGCACGGGCAATTTTTTGGTTCCCCCGGGAGTAGCCAATGCCCCCATCGGCGGGAAACTTGAGGCAGAGGTGCCTCATGGAGATGATGGCCTCGAGGTCCTCGAGGGCTGGCCGGCCGAGGATGATGTTGTGGGCGCAGTCAATGTTGACGACGACGAACTCCACCTCGAGCTGGGCTCTATGGAGCCCGTCGCCGAAGATCACCGGGAGGGTTATTACCCCCTCGGAATCAATGGTGTCGCCGGTGAAGCCGGCAAGAGGGGTCTTAATGGGCCGAAGGGACCCCCTCTCCAGATGCAGCTCTCTGAAGGTGCTGAGGTACATTACATTGACGGAGCTGCCCGTGTCAACGTAAGTTCGGTGAATGATGGTGTCGTTGATCTCCGTTCGAATCACCAAGGCATCCCGGTGAGGAGAAGAAGTAGGAGGGAGATCTGCGTTGGCGAAGGTGATGGGTTCCTCCCTCAATCGCTTTACCGGGGGCATATGAGTGACTTCCCCTACGTAAAGCGATTGAGCCCACTTCTTTCGCTGGCTGGTGGAATCGCCCCCTGTGTTGCCACCGGTGATCATGAGGATGTGGCGTTTTTTCTCCTGGTAGTGGGGGTATTCCTCCTCCTCTTCTTCCAAGTTTCCAATCTCCCTTTTCTTGCCGAGGGGGATGGTATTCGGGTTTACCCAAGCGTTTACCTTCGTGTGATGCCCTCGGGGAGGCCCCTGATGAGAAGGTCCCTCCTGCCGAGGGCTCTGGACAAATTGGGACAGGTGCCCCGCTTGTATTAATCTCTCGATGGTTGTCTTCAGTTGATGGCAGTCATCGGTCCTGTGCCCCTGGTGCCGATGGAAGCGACAGTAGGGGAACTGAGGGTTGATAGCGTGTACCTCCGGGGGTGCGCGAGAATCGCGTTCAACGAGGCCCCTCTCCTCTGCAAAATCGAGGATGATGCTGACAGGGTGCGTCAATGGGGTCCGAGGGCGGTCCAGGAGAATGGGCTGGGCCCAAGTCTTAGGGTTGCTCCTATAACCTCCCCCGGGCTTGGCTTGGCCTTGTCGAGGGCGATCATCAGAGGGTCCCGAAGCCTTGGGGCGATTTGGAGGAGCCCCCGCCCCTCGGTTGTGCTTGTTGTCAGCCCTCGGGGGCTGCTGGTCCGGATGCTGGTGATACTTCTCCACCTCCTCGGCCTCAGCATATCTGTCCCCCCGCTGCAAGGCCCTTATGTAGTCGCGGGGGGGTTCAATGATGAGGCTCCTTGAAAAGTTGCCGGTGCGGAGGACGGTTTGTAGGAGGGCCAGGAGGGTCCCGTCATCAGCACCGTCGACCTTGTCGTCCTCCGTCCTCCAGCGCTCCAGGAAATCCCGAAGGGTCTCCTCCTTCTTCTGGCGTATCATTAGGAGGTGGGAGAAGTGCTTCCTTGTGCGACGCCTCCCGGCAAATTGTGTTAAGAACCGCTGGGCGAGTTCTTGCCATGAATCAATACAGCCCTCGGGCAGCCTGTTGAACCATTCGTATGCTGGTCCCTCTAAGGTGGAGAGGAACCAACGACACAAATATTCGTCTGACGCCCCCACCATCATCATGCTGTTCTGGTACTTGCTGTAATGCTCCTGGGGGTCCGTTTTTCCGCTGTAGGGCTGTATGTGTTGCCCTCGGTATTTCTCCGGGATCCGGGCCGCCAATACCCTTGGGGTAAATGGCGTCCGAGTTCGGAGCTGGATGACAGGTTCCCCGGAGCCCTCGGCCACCTTCTTCTGTAGTTCCTCCATTTTGGCCATCATGGCCTCGTATTTGAGGTCTGAGTGAGGGGTGGAGGTGGTGGCGTGAGCTTTGTTGGACTCCATCTCGTCAAGCCGGCGTTGGAGGGCCGCAATGATCTCGTCCCGGGGGTCCCTCAGGAGGGTCTCCGCCCCCTGCGAACGAACCCGGGCCGAGTGGGCCTGGTTGATTTGGTGCCGAGCATCATCGGCATGAAGGGGTGCCTTGCCTTTGTCCCGAGGGGGACGCTCCTCGTCTGCCCTCGAAACAGATCCCCCGCTTTCCTGGGGCTTTTGGAGTGCTTTCCCACCGAGGCGGTCTTGGACCCCTCGGCGGTCTGGCCCTCCTCCGAGCCGGTTGAGGGCGGAAGTGCGGGGCCTCTCCCTGTTGTCATTATGGCGGTCCCGGGACTGAACTTCCTGGGAGGATGTTTCTTGGGCCACCACCCCTTCGTCGTTTCGCACCCGAGGGGTGGGATTTCCAAAGGGGTGTGGCAGAGGGGGAAGTATGATATTTTCCCCGATCTGAGGGTGAGCTGGAGCCAAACGATGAAGGCCGAGAGCGCCGATTGTACGTCGATGGTGAGAACCGGAGGGCTGACTTGGTCATCGCTCCGGTTTTTCTTCTTGGCCTCGATGCCGAGGCGGGCATCGGGGGCATTTTGTCGGATCTGAAGGCGTAGGTCGACAGCCGCCTGTTCCAGCCCAACGATGACACCGCCCTCGGGAGCCCTGTGAGAGGCTTCGGGGGCGTTGACGTCGCCGAGGGGTAGGTTCTTGTCGTCTACGTTCTTTGAGTTGGCACGTGTTGTCCTCACCATTTCGATAGAGGGCTAGTGTTTTGTGTTTGGTCGAGGGGGAGGGTTTCTTACTCGATTGTTCAAGCTCTCAACGAGAGCACCAAATGATGGATAGTCTACCCGGGGGTATATATCCGAAGGGTTACTACGGGGAATAACTTAGAGAGAAGTCAGAGCCAGTAAATATATATAGAGAGAGTGTATTATAAATGTGGAGCGTTTTCAGCGTGGTTACAAATGGGGAAATGGGGTGCTATTTATAGTAGCAATAAATGCCGGGCAGTGACACGTGTCAAGCGCTCATTGGCCGAGGGGTCACCTCAACTGGTTGGCGCTGGCAGCCGCATGTGGCCGCATTCAATGCGGCTGTTGGATGGGACGTCTGTGCGGGGTACGGTGATCTGTACGCATGTGAGGCAGATATCTTGTCGAGTGAGGTGCCTTCGGCTATAGAGCAGTAACCGAGGGCTCTCCCACCCGATGGCACCCTGGTGCCGAGGGCTCACAATGCCGAGGGCTACTGTTTTCGCCGTTTTCTCCCAGTTTCCTAATTTGCTTGGGAAACCCGCTCTGTGATAATTTGGAGCCTTCGGCCAGGGGGCCGAAGGCACCCCTGTGCGTTGTGCGGGCTGCTCGGTACTCTGGGCGCTGTGATTTGGGCCTGTTGGGCCTTTTGGGCCTGTAGGGCCTTCGCTGGAGTAGTAGGAGTCTGTGGGCCGGGGGTTCCCGGGCCATATACTCCATCAATGGTCAAAACAAGGATTCAACGGGAGAATCGAGTGAAAGCTTGTCTCTAGGAGGATGTCTTTCAGCTAGTGGGAGTAACTCTAGAAACACTTAAAAGTGTAGCACTAGAAAACTCTCCGAGCATTGGATAGTCCAATGAAAGAGAACCTCTTCACAATCAGAATGAACAGCCTGAACAAAATGCAAAACATTCAATTCTCCGGGTCTACAAGGATTCGTCATGAACTAACTAGGTTTGACTTCCTCATGGAGGATCATGATGATGTTAAGATTCCTGATAAGGATGAACCTAAAATCTACATTAAAGCAATATTAGATGTTGATTTACAGAGGTGGCGAGATGCCTGAAATCTAAAATGGACTTGATGTATATCAATAAAGTATGGAACTTGGTTGACTTGCCTGTTGGGTTAGACCCATTGGATGCAAAGGACTTTCAAGAATAAAATTGATGCTGAAGGTAAGGTGCAAACATACAAAACTAGGCTAGTGGCTAAAGATTATAGTCAATGAGAAGGAATTGACTATAGTGATACCTATTCGCTAGTTGCAAAACTCAAGTCCATTCGGATTTTGCTTGTGACAGCTGCATACTCTGATTATGAGATTTGATAAATGAATATCAAAACCCATTTCCTTAATGGAAATCTCAAGGAGGAGGTGTACATGGTACAACCTGAAGGTTTTTGCATCCAAGTCAAATTCTAAATCATTATATTAATTATAGAAATCTATTAATTTGATGAAATTGTCAAATTGTTTGACGTCATCAAATGAAATGAGGGTACTTGCGTGTTTAGAGTGTGCGACATGGATAACATGGTCTTTATAATCATATATGTTAATAATAGAGAATGATATCCCCTCATTGAAGTCCGTGAAAGAATGGTCACCCAAAATCTTCATGAATATCTTTTTGTCTATGGTAGACAGAAAGAACTAGTAGAATTTTATTATTCTAGCACTAGTTTCATGTATGATAAGAAAGACTACGAGTCATAGTCAATATATGTTTTTAGTCTCAACGTAATAGTAGTACTGAAAGAGTTGCAAGTAAGAAACTATTATAAATTCGAAAACTAGAGCCTAGTAAATTGTTGCATTTGATGCAACATAGGTAAGCGTTTAGATACGTTAGTTCCTTAAAGAAATAGAGGTAGTTCCTAGCGACAATTATTCAATAATTGTTATTGTGACTGTACCAGGTGCATTTGCACAAGCTAAGGAACCAAGATGCAAAGTAAGGAACTAGAAAGTACCAGTATGCTATCATGTTTTGATAACAAATAGCAAGATGAGAAGTTGCAACAGAATGCCTTCCCGTAGAGGACAATTTGGCAGGCCCATTCACCAAACCTTTGAGATGTGAGAAACATTGTAGGCTTTTGAGAGTTTAGGTGTTCGACGCATTGGTGATTGACACTAGGCCAAGTGGGAGATTGTTAGTATATATGTTTGAGCGACAATCACTTTTTAGAGATATATGTACTTGATCACATTCAGTTTATATATTTGATATATACGGTATTACACATTGATGATTAAGTATTTCGATTGTCAATATCTTATTCATAATTGTGTTCCCTTGGACTTATGTTGTCAATAAGTAAGTGGGAGCTTATATGATATAACACAAGGTCCTAAAATAACACCAATCAATGATTATCAAGAAAGGGATATTGATGATATGCGATAAGATTGGTATGTGGACTGCATCATACTTTTAGAAAGTATAGTTGATCTCACAACTTTGAGTTCCTGTAATTCATGATGGTCACATAGATATTTTAGAGAATATTGGCATACCCACCGAGAAACCATTTGATAAGTTCTATTCATGTGTCTATGGGATTATCGGCGTATAGAGTAGTGTAATAGTCCTTCAACTTGAGGTCAATACGTACTACATGTGCGAAGTGATGTACTTTGACCATGACCAACGCTTGCACTCCAATCGAGGTATAGATACAGCATGTGTTAGGTGCATCACGAAGCACATTGAATAGTAGTTGAGCCAAGAAAGGATTCATTCCTCGTAATAGATTAAGAGAGAACATTCTACTTCTCATATCTAGATGGATCATAAAGTCATTGACCAATGCAAAGATATATTCGTTTTGGATATCGAATATGATCATTATGGATCATCTAGAAAAATTGAGAGACAGAAACTAAGTTATTAGAATAGACACAATATCATGTTCTAGATTTAGTTGAATGTTCGTTGAATGAAAGGACTGTATCACTATGAGCTCTATATTACAGGGAGTTTGAATAGTCCTCGCAAACGTCCTTATATATTAAGTTTGTCTGGTAAATCGTCTAGAGATTCTACTAAAACCTTAATTTGATTAGTGCTTAATATATAAGGCCCTATGGGTCACACAACAAGTGATAATACCTTCCGATTGAATTGATTAGAAGGAGATAAATATTATTAATTGGATTAAATGATATTTAATTCGTAATACTGAAAATGGATTAAATATTAATTAGATTCATATATTTAATTCATTGTGTTGAAGGAAAGTTCTATTTGATAGAATTAATTAGGTATGATAAATTAGATTTATTATACTTAATTAAGATGTATTTATAATTAAATAAAGTTGGGATTTTATTGGGTACAATTTAGAATAAAAGTGTATTCAATAAAATATAAATAAAATAATAAAAATAAGCATTAAGAGAGAATGGGTGGCGGCAACTCCATTCCTCTTTATTGTGTAATTTATTATTACTATTATACCTTTATTTAATTAATAAGGAGTACTGGTTCTCGTAGGACTAGAACTCATTAATGAGCAAGACTTTCATTGTAATTGGGAAACTAGTTTAGAACTAGTATAAATACATCCCCCTCCTTCATAATTGAGATCAGTTTTCAGATTCAGTATAAACAGTTTATTTCCCTGCGAAGAGATTTCCTAGCCTTTCTCTTAGGGAGATCTAACCGTTCTTTCAGAAAGGTTAAGGATTATAACCGCTAGACTGGAAGATCTGTAAGTTGTAACTCAGATATGTTATTATTATCATATTCATTGTTTTATCATAATCAGGGAAGATCTGTTTGGGAAAATTTTAAACTTCCGCTGCTGTACTTTCGATGTACGTTACATCAATTTCCTAACAATTATATGTATGATGATAATAATAACTTATAGTTATAATTATATTTATGATGATAAATCTGAATCATTCCGATCTGATCTAAATATTTTTATGTGATTGAGTGTTTATATGGGAACATATCATGTCAGACGAGAACAGCAAAATTCAAATTTGATAAAAAATATTCACTTTAGGCGAATAGAATTACTTCTTAATATCAACCATATTAATGAAATAGAATTCTCGGAATAAATATCATATCAGCTCAACTTCCAAAAAATTGCATAACATCAAATTCTTTATAAATTAATGAGACTTTAATACATTTAAGAGAACTCTAATCATACAGAATTGAGAAATAATGGCATGTTTCTCACTTATGGCTTTTCAATTTCCAAAAATACAACCCATCAGATAATCTTCTATTATACAACAATAGGAGAAAACTTGCCCAGAATTCCCGCTCAAAAATGTCCAATCAACAGGCGGGTCGGGTCTCACGCGTGGCGGGTCGGGTCTGGCAGCTTATTCAATGCTCTGTTCTTTGAATTTTGAGAATTTTCTTAGGTGCTGAGGCTGAAATTGCCTGGCATTAAATGCAAGCCCAATGACCAATAAAGCATTTGTGAGGCTCAATAAAAAGTACATCAAAGATGGGCTGCACGTTTTACAATGGAGAAGAAAGGACCAAGTTTAATTTTAAAAAATGGGCCAGGGTCACTTCGAATTAATTACTGTGTACTTCAAAATCTTTAATTGTCATTCAAAAATCTTTATGGCTGAATTTAAATGTGTACTATAAAATCTTTGGTATAGATTTTGTTAAAGGACCAATGGTCAATAACATATTTGTTTTTGAGAAGCCACACCATTCACCACCTATAAATACACACGAATTGGGTTTCAAGCCACACCACCACCGAGCAATTCACAAGTAAAACGAGCACCCCATCTGCTGCAATGGCATGTTCATCAACATAGACCGGAATGTGGTCCCTGATCAAAGACATTGATCAGACAAAGACCACCTGGGCTTTGAGGGTAAGAGTTGTACGATTTTACGAGGTTCCTCCCCATTCCAGGGGTGGAGAGACCCTTGAGATGGTGCTGCATGATGCAAAGGTAAAGACCTAAAACATTGTGCTTCAACTACATGTTTGCAAAGAAATTAATTTTTTACACATTTCTTTATAGGGGGATCGAATTCACGCAACTGTGAAGAGGCTGCAGCTAGCAATGTATAGACCATTGATCAAAGAACACCATGTGTACACACTAAGGAACTTTTTGGTCATGGACAACTACCAAACAGTGAAAACAACTTCACATCCTTATTTGATCCAGTTCATAAGCAAGACTGCATTTAGGGAAGACAAGACTGAACTACCTATGTTTTTGTATGACTTTCAACACTTTGGGTTGCTTCAAGAGCAAAGAGTGATCAATGACAGACAACTCATTGGTAAGGGTATTTATTTCATTGAGTATTTTTGCGTCAACATAGAGTAGTAAATATGTTGACCTTTTACATTTCAGATGTGATCGGTAAGGTCGTATGCAGAAGCATGGTTCAAACACACATCATCAATGGAAAGGCTGAAAGATTGATGGAGCTAACATTGGGTGACCCTGAGTATGTTAATATTTTTTTTTAAAATGTATCCTAACACTTATAGTGAACAATCAAACAGCTTTTGATGATCCACAACTTTGCATTCGTATCTACATAATAACAGAGGCAACAGACTTGGTTGTGTGCTGTGAAATAAATATATAACCCAGTACATGGATTACGCTACCCAGCATCTTGATGAAGCGATTTATATAATATTTCAGCTTTGCAGGCCTAAAAGATATCAGGGTATGAGGAATTTTCTTCCATTATTTTGTTTTGGCATTATGATTATTTTTTCGACTAAAACAATTGTAAATTTTAGGTGCCCTATCTGTGTCATCTTCTTTTGATGTGTCAAAGCTGATCATTAATGGCACAACGTCCGAGTTTCTGGACTTCATAAGCGAGTAAGCCTCTAACTTTATTCAACTCTAAAGTTCGAATATAGAAATAGCTCCTAAAATATAATGGTCGCAGATTTCCGGGTGACGGTGATGACAATATGACGGGAACGACTGTGACACAAACCACACAAGGGGATGAAAGTAGGGATGACATCCTAAGTGGGAATGCAACCATATCCACCCTGAATGCTTTGCTTAACACAACTGAGGTGATGGCATTCACTCTAAGAATGGAATTCAATAAGATTAATAGAAAATGGTGCTTACATGTGTGTGTTCTAACATACATGAAGGGTTTTACTTGGTGCTTGGAGACATAGTCTCCATAGGGAATTTCCGAGAATGGTGTTATCTTAGCTGCCCAACTTGCAACAAGAAATTGAAATCTGAGGAAGAAAGGTTCAGGTGTGCTCATTGTAATGACACCCTTGCTGAGGGAGTTTATCGGTGGGTAAATGTTTCATAGTCAGCTAAAACACTATGTACATCTTCGAGTTGCTCAAGTTTTAACACGAAAAACATTATAGCTACAAGGTCAGCATTTGTCTCATGGACAATTCGGGACATGCTCCATTTACTCTGTGGGACTGAGAATGTATTGATTTCTTTGGGAAAACATCAGGAACCTTGATGCTTGAATTGGAGAAGGTATCTTTAAAAATAAATGATTTCAAAACTTTTGTGTATTCATTCCGAAATTTGATCAATTTAATTTTGCGATAACAGAAAACTGGAGACACAACACGCTTTCCAGAAGAGATTGAGAGTTTGATTGACCAAAAAGCACTTTTCAGAATTCATATAAAGAAAAGATCTGATGAAAATACTTACAAGGGAACTTTTTCTATAGGAATTGTATCAATGATTCAGACCGCCTCTGTGGTTGCATTGTATGTAGAGGATGAGAAGGAACAAACAGCCAAAGAGGATACGACCCCAGAAAAGGTAAAAACAACATAAACATGAGCTGTTTCGGTTAGCAAAGTAGACACTGAACGTCAAAAGTACTTAATCTCCAGGTTGCATCAAGCACAAGCATTGGCGAAAAGATAGCAAAGAACGGTAAACGTGTTTCAGCTGAGAAAGAGGTATAAACTTAAAGCTATTTAAGAAATGCTATAATAGGGTTTTCGGTGTACCATACTAACATTTTTTTAAAAACCAGGACCGTTCTCCTATTGACCTACCAGATACTCCACCAGCATGCACACAGAGGGAGGTTGAGGTTGAACTGACTGATGAAATCAAACGTAATCTGAACGATGAGTTTTCTACCAATGGAAAAGTGAAGAAGCTGAAGATGAAAATCAAACAGGAACCTGGTGTTTAGGGAAACTAAGGAGTGATTTACTAAGACATTGTTTAAAAACCTTTTTTGCTGTTTTATGGCTGTGTGCCTTAGCTACTATTTTTGGATGTGTTCAAACACTAGCACAAAGACACTCTAAAGTGTTGAAAGGCTATTTGTTGCTTTATTTATCTATGTTTTGAGACCAGGGTTGTTCATTGAACAAATCCTACTGTCTTTACAGGTTCATGAAGTTGAAGTGTTCTACAAAAATAGGGAGGCATACTCATGATGTTTGTAAATAAAAAGAAAAAAGATTTCTAATCACGGTTTTTAATACAATTTTAACTATTTTTCAGGTAAATAATGTCCAGCCAGAAATGAACGCAGTAGGATGCCTGGAGCAACCACGGCTAGTGTTGGATTCGGTTCGGGCCACCCGGCCCGTGACCCGGCCCGGCCCGGTACTGTGCGGGCCCGGGACCGGCCCGGTCGGGCGGTCCGGGACCGGGTCTGGGCCCGAACCGGGGGGAAGGGGCGGGGCGGGCTCGGTTCAGCATTTGTGTGACCCGGCCCGGGTCCGGTGCAATTTAATTTTTTTTTTAATTTGGGCTCCTACTAGCCGTTGGGGGTGGGGCTGGGGACAACCCAAACGGCTATATAGCCGTTGGGTGGGGTAAAGGGGGGGGGTCCGGGGGGGTTGGGTGGTGGGGGGGTTGGTGGGGGGGGGGGTGGGGGTAAAAAAAACCTATAAATACTCCTAATCTTAAACATTTTTTCATCTCTTCTCCAATTCTTCCTATTCTTATCTCTCTACTCTCTAATTCTCTTATTCTCCAATATATTATATATCTACTCTCATATTCTCTTCTCCAAGAAGTTAAGATCGAAAATCAAAATGCCATTATACGGTATAATTTTGATAAGCAGAAGGACCCGAAGACCGGGATGTGGTACGCAATTTGCAAATGGTGCGAAAAAAAATGTATAATGGGGGCTTCAGGCGGATTCGGGATGGCAATCAAGCATATGAAGTCATGTGACAAAGCCAAAGGATCGGGAGGTGCAGGAAGTTCCGATTGATTACAATTTTCAAAATGTTTATCTCTTATATGTAGTTCCTATTTCATTTCAAATAAATGTAATTGAAGTTTGTTTTTAATACTCGTATAAAACTATAAACTATAAATATAAATTATATATATAAAAAATAACCGGCCCGGCCCGAACCGGACCCGACCCGTGACCCGGGCGGGTGGCCCGGCCCGAACCGGATCCGTCCAACCCGCGGGCCGGTCCCGGGCCCACTTTTCTTGAACCGGCGGCCCGACCGGGCCTAGGCCCGGCCCGGGCCCGACCCGGCCCGAATCCATCACTAACCACGGCTGAAGAGGATAAAGAGATACGAAGTTGGGCATTGTTTAGCTAGATTACAATTGTATTAGGGATGTTTTGTACCTACTTTATTTAACATTGAATAAAGTTCCTTTTTATAATGTTATTTTTCTAAGTTACGCAATGTGGGCATATAATACTGATAATAATGGAAGAAGTGTTAGATGAGTTCATACGGCCTTATGTTGAGCATACCTGCAAACCCTACTTATACTAAATTAATATTACAAACCCTTATGAATATTACATATAGTTGGCAACCATCTAAGGTCCCAAAACTAAACCTATTACAGTTGTTTCTAATTAATCTTCAAAAGTCCTCATGTGGAGGCAAAGTGTAACTGCAAGAATAATTGTTATTGCATTAGAAAGGTTGAAATAATAAGTGCAGATAAAATTTTATAAAAAACGGAAAGAATATTTAAGACAGAATGAGTCTAAGTGATTGTTTTTATTTTCGAGTCTAAGTAATAGTGTTGAAAAAAGTTTACCTAAACTCTACTTTTAAAAAATACAGAATAGTAATTTGATTTTTATCCATAAAAAACAAGTATAGTTATTGAAATTGTTGTTACAGAAGTTAATGACAAGGTAAGGACAGAATATTTTAAAAAGCCAAAAATGAATAGTCACCAAATATAATTTAAGTTTATTACATATTAAAAAAGAAAACATAATTTGATAATAAAGTTCATTTTTAACTTTAAATAAAAAGTGAAGGTAATTATAAAAAATAGAAGCAAGTAGTGAATAGGTTTTAATCATCAAAGGCTTGGTAAAACACAGCCCATAATTAAAAATTATACTCTAACGTTGCTGCATTTTTTTAATTAATTTTCCTTATAAAAGCATGGGAAAATCGCATATATGGTCCCTTAATTATCCACGAAATTAAAATCTTAGACCTGTATTTCTGAGATTGTAAATGTCATCCTTCAATTGTCCACATTGTTGTACATGTGGTCCTTTAAGTGGTGAATTGTACTCTCGCTCACATTATATATTTCACCCCTCAAAAGGATCACATTTACAACATTTTGGACAATTGATGGGTGACATTTACAATCTCAGAAATACATGTCTGAGATTTTAATTTCATGAATAACCGAGGGACCATATATGCGATTTTCCCTAAAAGAATTTATTAAAATTCTACTAATAATAAATAGAAATAAATTCATATGAGTACATAAGTATGAATGGCTTAGGAAGTATATAAAACAGGTCAGAATTGAGGTAATAAAAAATTGTATAAAACTGTTTGCCCAAATATATTGTGAAGCTCAAGTAATTTCCTCCACATTAAACATGTAACTGATGTACTTCACTAAGTGAAAATATAATTTCTTCGACAAAGTTAATTGAAAATGATAAAATCTGTTTTTACTGCTTTTACAAAATTTTAATTTTAAACTCTAGGAATTTTTATAAACAACAATTTTACTTTTTAGTTTAAGAACACAAATGCTCAGGAAAACCTTTAAATTTGTGAAGTACATGGTGGTTAAACAGGAAATTTGGGCAAGTTATTTTAGCCCTAATGTGGCTGCCCGGGTATTTAAGATTTCAATTACCAAGGCTTCCAAAGGGCATATTTTTTTTGATGTTAAATATTATAAATAAAAAAATTTACCCGGAAGAATAATTGTTATTGCATTAGAAAGGTTGAAATAATAAGTGCAGATGACATAACATTTTATAAAAACGGGAAAAATATTTAAGTCAGAATGAGTCTATGTGATTGTTTTTATTTTCAAGTCTAAGTAATATTGTTGAAAAAAGTTTACTTAAACTCTACTTTTAAAAAATACAGAATAGTAATTGGATTTTCATCCATAAAAAAAGCATAGTTATTGGAATTGTTATTTCAGAAGTTAATGTCAATGGCATAATATTTTAAAAAGCCAAAATGAGTAGTCACGAAATATAATTTAAGTTCATTACATATTAAAAAAGAAATCATAATTTGATAGTAAAGTGAATTTTTTACTTTAAATTAAAAGCACATGTCATTTTCAAAAATAGAAGCAAGTAGTGAATAGGTTTTAATCATCAAAGACTTAGTAAAACACAGCCCACAATAAATGGTTACAGAATAGATAATAGCAAATGGAACCTGTCAAAGCATCAATATTAGAAAATATTTTTAAAAAAGTAGTGAGTTATGAAACGTAATTATTATTTCAAAGTACCAGCTTTAAATTTAAAAGAGGCTACACGGATTCCAGGGGTATAGAGAGGACCAACTTAGGTTTTAAAAAAGAGGCTGTCATTTCGCATTTATGAAAGTGTACTACATTAAATGAACACTACATAATTGGATTTTCATCCATAAAAAAAGTATAGTTATTAGAATTGTTATTTCAGAAGTTAATGTCAAGGGCATAATATTTTAAAAAGCCAAAATGAATAGTCACGAAATATAATTTAAGTTCATCACATATTAAAAAAGAAATCATAATTTGATAATAAAGTTAATTTTTTACTTTAAATTAAAAGTACAGGTCATTTTCAAAAATTGAAGCAAGTAGTGAATAGGTTTTAATCATCAAAGACTTAGTAAAACACAGCCCAGAATAAATGGTTACAGAATAGATAATAGAAAATGGAACCTGTCAAAGCATCAATATTAGAAAACATATTTTAAAAAGTAGTGAGTTATGAAACGTAATTATTATTTCAAAGTATCATCTTTAAATTTAAAAGAGGCTACACGGATCCCAGGGGTATAGAGGACCAACTTCGGTTTTAAAAAAGAGGCTGTCATTTCGCATTTATGAAATTGTACTACATAATGAACATTGTGGTAGGATGGTTTAAATGAACACAACATCGAAATGATTGCAAAAAAGATCCGATGCAAGATTTAAAAGTAAGTGGTACTTTAAAACCATTTTAAAACAAAGTCATAAATGCAAAGAAGCATTAGTGTGGCATGTAGGTCTGCACACATTAAATGAACACAGTAGCAGGATATCCATCCTAGGATGGCGAACAGATCTGCTCATTAAATGGGAATGGACAGTAGGTAGATATCACAATATATTGCTGAACTTACTTACCAGTGGTCAAAAACCTGTTTTGGAAGCTGAGTACATAAATACCATCGTAGGAGCATTTACTCCATGCTCAAAATCTCATTTACTCCCCTCAACCACAACATCTAACCCGAGCATTGGTAGTGCATTTTTTGAGTATAGTGAGTGCTCCACAATTATCAAAGGTATGATTTCTACAATGATATGTTATCAGAATATGATATGTACATATGATAAATGCTTGATGCCTACTGTTATGAACATTCATGAAAGCAGTTGTAATGCTATGACTTTAAAATAATTGAATGACATATTCCAACTATCTCATTTAAGATGAGATGCTGTTCAGGCACAAACTGTGAAAAGCCAAAATGTCATGCGTGTGGCAAACACCCTGGGCTCTTTCCGTTGAAACCATGCTTTGGGTGTAATGCAAAGTTGAGTCATTTTTACAGCATGCAGCCTCTAAACAAGAAAAGGTATACAAGGAAATACATATGCATAGAATACAGGAACTGGTAAAAGCAGACACCGATATACCTAGAAGATCAGGTCGGATTGTGACATTGAACCAGAAGTACTTCAATGAATACATGTGTGTGGGAATGAGTTTTGGTTGGCTTAACATGGCATGACTATAGTAATGCATTGTTATCAATGACTATGACTAAGGTTTTTGTTGGATACGTAAGATAGGTAAACTGTTTTGTTTTTTGCAAATTGCGTGGGCTGTATGTACTCATGCAATGCTAAATGATGATTATTGTAGTATGTTGTGATTGAATTGTTGTGCAATGGTAGACGTGGATCCAGAATGCATGTGCTAAATGATGTTACTTCACTTAACAG